ACATTACAAAGCCAGAAAAGGTGCCGCTTTCAGAGCCATTGAATGTGATTGTTATAGTAGCGCTCGCTTCCGCTGCAAGGGATGAGGGGATACTCTGCACAACAAATTCGCCGACAGTCAAGTTACCCGAGCCGTTCCATGTTTGCCACGGGCCAGTGGAGCTAGTATTTGAATACAGGATACTTTGGAAAGTAAGAGGCCCATTGCCTAGATTGGTGAGGATCATGGTCTCTGTGACGCCATCCGGGTTCTGTCCAGTAACAACGCCTTGAAAAGTAAGCGTAGTTGGTGCAACTGATAGCAGTGGGCCAGCGCTCTGTCCAGTGCCGGTCAATCGAGCGTGAGTATTGGGACTGTAGCCAGCAACACTGTTTGTCGTGTTGACGACGACATCATTTGAGATGAGGCCAACGGTGGTAGGGCTAAATGTGGCTTGGATAGTAAAGGAATCACCAGCGTTCAACTGAAGCGGCGTGGTGGGAAGGCTTGAGATGCTGTAATCTTTCTTAGAATCAAGCGCAACGCCAGTAACGGTCAGGCCGATCAGGGCTGTGCACTTGACCGGCTGAGAGTTGCTAGTTGCTTTGAGATTAACATTACCAAAGGCAACAGGCGAGGTGCAGTTGAGAGGCGCGTTGACGGGCGATCCAAAGCCATAGAACAGGCCTTGGTTGGTGCCGATGTATACAATTCCATCGCCAAACACAGGTCGGGTGAATTTCATGACACCGGGGATGTTGAACGAGTTGATCATCGTAAGCTTGCCATTTGCGGGAATAGCATTATAAATGCGAAGATTCAGACCTTGTACATCAGTCACCCAAAAGAGACCTGTGCCTGGCTGGCCGTTGAGAGAAGTTGTTGTTCCATGGCTGACACCGAGAATATACGCGTTGGTCTCAGGGCTCTCGGCGACCTTGGTGAACGAAGGAACGCCAGCATTGCAAGAGAATTTGAAGACATTGGAGGGATGCTGAATAACGTTGATGTATATATAGCCACCTTCCAGGGGATAGACACCAGCACCAGCATAGACGGAGTTGTCGTTTTGATAGACTTGAATAGCAGCGTCCAGGTTGTTAGGGCCATTTCTGTAACCTCCGAGGTTGTCCATATTCAGCCAATAGGTCTTGCCACTCTTGCCAGTGACAACGCCAATGCGCTTTATATCGCCGCAGGAAAACTGACTTGGAAGAATCTCAAGAGGACTCGTGCCCAGATCTCTGTCAGCGCCGTCTAAAGCTTGCTTTTCCCATGGCATGAAGAAATCAATCAGGTTTAAGCTGCCGTCGGTGTTGATTGTCATGTGCACGGCGGCTTCTTCCAAGGAAGTAGGGGGATTGAAGCCCTTGACAGGGACATTGGACAACTGTGACGCGTATCCATTGCCGGTGGCATACCAAATAGAGCCAGCGTCGTCAGATGCGATACCTCCACCAGACATCCAGACTCCTGCACCTCGAATATCATTGGGCACGCCTTTGCCTTCCATGGCGTAGTATTCAACCAGCTTGCCACTGGTCTTGTCCCAGCCGATGATCCAGCCAGTGAAGTTATACTGGACACAGTGTGACGCAAATCCAGCGTAGATGAACTGGCCGGTGTGCAACAATGCAGTGCGCTGATGGTGAATGCCTCCATTGAACATTCGCACATCACTGTTGCGAGAAATGACCCCTTCCAGGGGAACCGGGAAGTTGGGCCTCTCGCTCAGGTCATTGGCATCTAAGGCATGGATGAAGTATCGTCCAGCAGCCAGACCCTGTGGTGTATTTATCGCAGCTTGGTTGGCATATGTCTTTGAGGTGTAGTAGATGGTATCGGTATCAGGATCAATGACACCAGTAGCAGTGACGCCAATATTGGGGTTGATATCGACACATCCATCGAGATCGGCAGCCAGGAAGGGAATGTGCAGGTTTCTCGAAGCCACAATCGCGCCAGTCTTTGCATCGAGCTTGTAGACATTGTTTTGCGTTGTAGCCACATAAACGTACTGCTTAGTTCCACTACTGGGAGTGTAAACGAGAGGCTGAGAGAAAATTTGCTCGGCTGCACCACCGTAGGTGCCAGGAAGGAGAGTCTGGAACAGCTGGCCAAATGAAGAGCTCCCCACGACAGAGGGATCCATATTGTGGTTCCTATTTCCAATTAGTCACTGATAAAGAAACGAAAAGTATCGGGTTCTCTTACGTTTGGTATCCAGCCCTAGAGTTATCACCGCCCCAGGTAATGGTATCCGTCGAGGCCAGCCCTTTGGCCAGGCCGACAAAGGCCGTCAACAGCAGCACGGCTAAACCCATGATTGCGAAGATCAACGATGGATACGAAGCTCAGTTGTGCCCAACGGCAACAAAAACGGCAGAAGATTGCCCATCTTTAAAGAAAACGAGACGATAAGACTCTGGGCTAGTCCGCCAAGAGAATACATGTATACAAGGCGGATATCGCTCGTACTCGATATCAGCACCCATGTCCGAGAGTTGAGAGCTGAACAACCCTGGCCAGGCCACGGAATGGCACGAGGCAGCTGCCATGTCATAGTCTCCCGCTCGGAACCCTTTAGGACCCGTATCTTGCCACTTGGCTAGCTCTACAACTTTGCCCTCACCGGCAGACTGGTGGAGACACGGGCTGATGGTGCATCGAAAACTGCAGCCGCACAGCCGGTGCGACGTGGACGGTGGGAGCAGCAAAACCCACAGACCTGATCTCACTCACCATAGTTCCAAGTGAGCGTACCTCTTAGCAGCAGCAATCAGCCGGGGGGCTCGGCAGGCTTCCGTAGCATACGATGTAGGGAACCAAGTCTAGAGCTGGAGGCTTAAAGGGTTGAACAAGTCTCACGCGGCTTGGTCGACCGAGCCTAGCGCAAAGCCATCACCGCTCAGCCAGGGCCGAATCAGATCTAGCCGCGGCCTCTAATTCCGGGTGCCTGACGGGAAGCCAGTCCCCTGCAAGGTCGGTGGCGCATAGCGGCATCAAGCGTGGTAGCAGCACATGAAGCTTGCAGTAGATGTGACTGATGGCAATCGATCTCGGCGAGATCCAAGATGGCGCAGCATTAGAGCTGCAAACGAATTGGTCACCTTATGGTAGTACTGTAGGCCTACGTGAGCCGGCGGTGGAGTTGCTGTAGAATGTACGTCCAGATAACAGGTCTTACATGTACACACCACCACCACAGATTACATGTAATAACATCAACACAGCATAAGATCCTGCTCTGTGCTACGGTGGAACAAACCAGGCGCAACGGCAGGCCCGCTTTGGGCTAAAAAGAAGCATGTTAAGATGCATCATTTGAGGCTAGTAAGCAAACTAATACGAATCCTGGTTGTAATAAGTAATAGGTAGTAGCAATTCCAGCGCGCTTGTGTTACTACATGCTGAGCAAAAACGGAACTGCGAGATTCAGCTGCCCTCTCTCTCCCTTGCTTCACGATCAAAGCTGCGTCTATTATTATCCGCCTAGCTGGCAGCTCATTTCCACCATTCTGCAGGGAGCCTGCAGGCAAACCAATATTTCAAGGAATATTTGGCGCCCTGAACAATAGCTAGCGGCATCTCGCTGCGGCTGTAATGCACAGGCTGCATTATCCGGTGCAAAATTTGCGCTCTCTACTCCGTATGGGTGGTTTGTATTAGCCGATGGCCTTGTCTTAGATACGGTGATACCCTGTCTTTGACATATCTCACAGGGCAAGACACCATCACGTTCTATGTACGCCACCAGAAACGGAACCTTGCACACCGATTTGAACTATGCTCCATACCTTGCAGCTCATATAGCAGCTGGAGGCCTATATACTTCCACATACGGGCAGAAGCGCCCCCAATGATACCACCACCTGATTTGGAAGCCAAGGTCTAGATGCGAAATTAAGAACTTGTATACTACATGTGCAAAAATAGCTCTCACAATCCAATATATGTAATTTAAAAAAAAGTTGTCATCAATTTACAGAAGCAAAAAGAGGGTTCCCATGTTCACCGCATGGTCGGAGGATTGATGCCACCCGTATTATTGGTGGCGCAAGACTGCCAGGATATTGGCTGTAAAAGAGAACCCATGGGCAATATTTGCTCTCTAGCGTGAGGCAGAAGGTTCTATATTCCGAATTTTACAAATTTTACAACGGCTATGGTAATTCTCCTTACGTACTAGGCAGAGCCCTGCCATGAATCAGGTCTTTGGCTTTCTGTAGCTGCAGCAGCTGAGCTTGACAACACGAAGATAGAAGAGCATACAAAAGAAAAAGAATAAAGGCATCTCAGATTTGATAAGGCCTCAATTAATAAAGAAACATTGAACTAAGGGAAATGCTAGTGGCCGTCCCTAGTCTCACCCTATCATCTCCAATTATTTCCGGTGGCAATAACACCTCTTGGCTGCAGCAAGCGGCAATATCGCTTTGCAATACTAAGCAGGAATTAACAATTTGAAGTCCCATTTATAATATTTTCTAAGAGTAGTATATTGGCGGGCAAAAGGTAAAGTGCCTACCCGGTTCTTTCAACTTATCTCATGCGTCCAATCAGTACTAAACCCTTATCCAATCTATCGCATTATAAAGCTACTTTGGGTAATCCAAAGTCTCATTGGTACAATCTAATGCATTCATAGAGAATGAAAAAGATGTAACAACTGCAAGAAGTTTAAAAAGAAACATGGATAGTTGCGATTCGAGACTAGATATTATGTACAATATGGATTTATAACAACAAAGAGACAAAACAATTACCCGATGATTCATCAGCTCACGTCAACTCAAAGGAATATTAATGAATCATATGATCCAACAAAGACAAGTCAAAAATTGATGTATGGCCAAACTAACTGATGTGTCTCTAACAAATCTAATAATTTTTATGTGCAAACTAGTCATCCGTCCCCAATAGTACTCAAGCTCTTCCGTCCCTTCTCTTACCAAGCTCCGAATCATACGTCCTCGTTGTCGTTATCGTTCCAACTGTTTGTCCCTTTACGGAGTCTCCGGCTAAGCCTGGGTCCTTAATGCTGGGCATCCGTTGCAATAGGCCTTGCTATTCAATACAGGTTCAGAAACCCCATCTCCAGGCACCTCAAGGGTGAATTCGTTGGGTGCGAAGTTGCCGGAGAGCTTTTTCACTTTGCACCCTGGGCACTTGAAAGGCCATTGAAGAAAATTAAAGATTTTCTTCCGTTGAAACAACCAGCCATCATTCCTCGTCTCACAAGCCTCAAGCCATTTCCCCACAAGTAATCTTTTATCTGAAGTCGATACCGTGTTGTAAAAATTTCGCGTCTGCAAGAGGGTGAAGGATCCAAAGCCAAGGTTAATCTTGGAGTTGAGATATCTTTTCAAGTCCTTAGGCGCTCCGTCCAAGATGTCTTGTCTTTGCTGGTCATCGTTGGAGTTTGGTCGGGGATCTTCATGAATATCGATGTCGCCGTCGTACTCCGACATTTTAAAATATCGGGGGGCTCTCAATTCTGACATAATGACGATATTATGAGAAAACTTGATTCCTCTTTGTCTTTCTAATAGCTGATGATTTTAATGGTAGATTGATGTGGATTGGCTGGCTAGAATATGATTTCTAACTTTGATGGCTGTTGTGTAATGAAATCAACGTCCATTTCTCGTCGTTTATATAGTTTTCCCAAACAGCCTTGTTGCATCACGTACATTCGCATTACGATTGTTTGTAGCACTTTGCATGAGTTCTTTGAACCTGGATTTGAACGCTGGTGGTACACGGGATGCTGTTGTTCACTGTAAAACGATGCCAGGCGTCAAACAACCATTTGTTCCAAAACTTTGCATTTTACACATACAACACAACCAAAGTATTCATGTGCTGTATTTGTGATGGATAGTGAGTGCGATTGCCGTGGTGGTTAGACATCAATGGAGGCTGTGATCGTCGTGCTGTTCCCTTGGAGAAGCTTGTTCAGCTCGGTAACTTTCGAATAAAACTCAAAGATCGGCAATTCTTCTTTTATCATTCGAGAAATTCATTAAAACAAGTCCCTTTGTAATATGTATTGGACAGTGAAGTCACATCGATGAATATTTGGCTAACCAAACTGACAAAGCCGACAGAGCTATTTTATAGGACGGCAACTAGTACAACAAAATGCTCGATGTATCTAGAAAGAAAAATGCAACAAAAGAGAACAAGACCAGAGACGTGCATGTATACGTCTACATTGGCAGCGGATAACATAGCGACAAATTTATCAAGTCATATCAGTTTCGCGGAACTAAGGCCATAGGTCTAAATCAGCGTGCTTGTATTGATCTATCTCTGAACGTGTTTTACATGCCACTACTCATCTTTCCGCCGTTGATGTCGCATTTCGTATTGTCCTCCAGAAAAGCTGCTTCTGCTTGGAGATCTAAACAGACTTAGTATCTGTTTCTCTCTGATGAAAGAGAATAATTATAATCATTCTCCTCGAAATGCCGATCATCGCAGTCTTCGCAACAACCAACGCTCACCAACTTAACTTTACCATCGCTAGCTTTGATATCGAAAGCATTGGCCGTTACATACTTCGAAACAGGTTTGACAGCTTGGCATTCGCAACATTCGAATCTCCAGCCGAGCTTGCCAAAGAGCAACCCCTGCTGGAGCTCGTCTAGCCCTTGGTTGCTTATGACGTCTTTGATAGCCATTATGATCGCGTATCCGTCTTTAGTGCGTAGGTTGCCAGCTGTGCCTTTGTCCCGGATCGACACCCATCTGCCCCCAACCCTAATTTGGGTGTCGAGGGCTCTATTGACAATCCGCACATTCTCCCGTGGAGTATAGTCGCTTACGTAGGCCAAGGACATTGTGATGGTATTCTCCTTCTCCGTAAATGTCTTGGTGCAGAGCTGATTGCTTGGAGATAGCTGCGTGAAAACTGGTGCCTGGAAGATGATGTCTGAGTCTACTTTTCCTTTTCCATTACAAGCAGAAGTGCTAAGTTCCATGCATTATATAGTTTCTGTAAGTTGTCTTGTTTATAGATTCACTTATGTCACGATTGTTTTAAGCAGACCGTATGGCTTCTGGAGCTGTGCATAGCAGCTCATGGCGTCGCTATATCGCCCCTGCGCAGTATCTATGTGATGTATGGCGTGCATTGTACCACTGAAACACTGCTCATCACGCTACAAATCGCATTGTAAGCCAGTTGGATTCCCCGCTCCCTTTCATCTGAGACTGTTTTTAATTTCTCGTTTACCCAAAAAAAAATTACTTTATACCTGTGAACGTGATCGACATCACCTTATGGACTACTCTTTTGATAAATCAACGTGCGTGTATTAATATGAATATCCCTAAAAATCCTTTACATGCTATTTCTTATGCTTCCGCCGTTGGTGACTCATTTCCCACTATCTTCTAAAACCCCTATTGCCACCTGAACCATCCAGACAGTTGTAATTGATGTACCTTCCTGCTGAAAGTTGATACTTTCTTCCATCATTCTTCTCTTTTTTGCTGACGACGCCAGCAGCTTCTACAAGGGTCCTTACTCTTAAGAGTAATGAAGTCTTCGGTAACTTGAATAGAGAAACGGTTCCCCAGTTTGAATTCCGAAGCTTCTTTGCCAACGTTGCATCGTTTGCACGTAAATATCCACTCGAGTTCTTCAAAGACCATTCTCGTGTGAACGTGATCCAGCTTGATTCTATCCATTTCAGCACAGATAAATTGCAAAATATCGTATCCGTGTTGGTTGCGTCCGCATACAGCTTCCCTGCCTGCCCTCCGGACTGGCATACGGTGGTCGCCAAACTGAACCACGGCGTCGAGGAATTCATTGACTATCTGCCGATTCACTTGCGTAGTAAGCCCGTTTCGTTGAATACGGTCCATTATGATGATGTTATTGTTTCTTGAAAGATGTCCACTTTGATAGCAGATGAGATGATTGTGTAAGAAATGTTGTGAATGGCTGCGTGAGAAATGTTGCGAATGGCTGCGTGAGAAATGTTGCGAATGGCTGCGTGAGAAATGTTGCGAATGGTTGCGTGAGTAATGTTACTTAGAAGATGAGTTCTGTCTGCTAATTTTCGTTGCAAGCAGCGGTTAGTTCTAAGTATTATATACTTTTCCCATATATCTTTATTACACGGATTCACTCACGTTGCGACTGTTTCAAGCAGTTCACATGGCTTCTGGGGTCGTACACAGGTAGCTGTTCAAGGTGTCGCTATACCGCCTTTGCACCATATCTACGTGAGATTTGTTTCATTTTTTGTTCACGGAAACCTATATTTCGCATCAGTAAACATGATTGAAAAAAGCTATGAAATGTACTTGGTCTTCATTATGTGGTGTTGAACTCTTCATCTTTGTTGCTCCTGTCTTTGAAGCTGCAAAGGTGATGAGTTTGTGAACAATCATAGCTACTGAATATGACATGATTTATTAATGTATCATGAAAGCTGAATTTTTTATATACAAAGACTCAGTTGCAACATTCTTTCGTACAGTAACAATGGGATCTAGACATGAATGCTAGAACCATAGAGGGCGTTCTCAGTTGCAGGTAGATTGGTGATGTTTGGTACGATTCAACTTCTGAATCATATTTGAACTGGAAAAACTCTCATCGGAACAAACGACAATGGTAAATCAATATGCGAACCACCCATAGATCGATTGGCACAAATGTCTTCACAAATTACATGTATGCTGCAATACTTTCTACTTTGGGCATGTTTGCAGCGCCACAAACAAAGGCATAGAGATCAATGCAAATCAGAGAACCAAGAATTAGCCACAACAAGACAATGCCAGAAGAAACTCTTCTCTTTTTCTTTTGGATTTCTTTGTTTATTCATTTTCCCATTCTTTTGGTGATGCTATCCACAGATAGCCTGCGCCGTGACGCATGATCGTCAATAGCGAGTTAGTCCAGCGCAGTGTTAGCGAATGAGAAAAGAGTACCTCGCTGCAGCTACCAAACGCTAGCTGGCTACAGGTACCGCCTGAGTCACAGAAAACAGCCGCTCCAAGATCGACGGCGGCCGATTGCCGGTCCGAAAATTTTCACCCCACCACGACTGATAAGAGAGGGGCATATTTTCTATCATCGCAACTTTTCTGCTTTGCCTGGGGTTGCATCGTCGCCTCCGGAGCAAAAGCCTTTGTCTGTCCAATCGTCGCATGGCATCAGTGTGATTCTTCTCAGCAGCAGAAGTCCCCAAAATGCCGTACGAGGTCCTCGTTGGCGGCTCGTGCTACACGGCCCCGGATGCCCAGAAGCTGCGGGAGCTCATCAACAAATCCAGCCCCTCCAAGGTCAAGGACATCCGCGGCCAATGGATCTACTATGTGAACCTGCAGGTGTCGTCTCACGACACTCTGGAGCAGGTCGAGGAGCTGCTGCACGACGTCAAGGGCTGGGGCCTGGCTTCCGAGACTGCCGCCAACGCCGTCACCATCTACGCAACGCCTCGCTACATCTCGCCATGGAGCTCCAAGGCCACCAGCATTGCCCACGTGTGCGGCCTGAGGGAGCGAGTCCTGCGCATTGAGCGAGGCCGCCGCATCTCCATTGAGTTTGAGGAGGCCCTGCCCGAGGGCGGAGACGCCGCATTCCGCGATGTGCTTCACGACCGCATGACGGAGCTCTTCACCCCCCATGCGCCGTCCTTGGTGCAGATGTTCGAGTCCAAGTCTTCATCTCCTCTGGTGGCCGTCGACATCTTCGCGGATCAGGAGGATCCGATGCGGATTCTCAGGGAGTACAATCTCAAGATGGGCCTGAGCCTCGACGACTCCGAGATGCAGTATCTCGTCGACACTTTCACCAAGCTTGGACGCCCGCCTCACGATGTCGAGCTGTTCATGTTTGCCCAGGTTAACTCAGAGTATGAGTGTATCCCTGTTTGACTCTCACGAGTGGGCTGCTCACTGTTATACGCAGGCACTGCCGACACAAGGTCTTCAACTCGTCGTGGATCATCGACGGCGTCGCTCAAGACCAGAGCTTGTTTGGCATGATCAGGGCGACTCATAACAAGACGCCCCAATTCACTGTCTCTGCCTACAGTGACAACGCGGCGGTTATTGAGGGCGACCATGCCAATGTTTGGGCGCCGGATTATTCCACCGGCTCCTGGAAGCTCATTCCGGAAGTCGTCCATATCCTGACCAAGGTTGAGGTATGATTTTGCATTGCTGCCTTCTCTTACCCGTAGGCGGCGTTCTAACAAGACTTTGATAATAGACGCACAACCACCCCACGGCAATCTCGTAGGTTTCTCTCAGTCTTTTTTCTCACTTCACACTGGCAGCATTGCATTCACTACTAGTCGTCGTTGGTTGCCGGATCTGCAAGAAACGGCAAATGGCTCGCTTTGAAAACTTTCGCAGTCGATGGAAGCTAATATTCTTTGTAGTCCTTTCCCTGGAGCAGCCACTGGCTCAGGCGGAGAGATCCGAGATGAAGGCGCAGTCGGACGAGGTTCTACTACCAAGGCCGGCCTAAGCGGCTTCTGGGTCTCAGACCTGCTTATCCCTGACAACAAAGCGCCTTGGGAGGCTGACATTGGCCGGCCTAGCCACTATGCCAGCAGTTTAGACATTATGCTCGAGGCACCAATTGGTAGCGCGCGGTTCAACAACGAGTTTGGCCGTCCCGCTCTCGCAGGTTGCTTCAGGACTCTCCTCACACCCGAGGATGCTAATACTAGCTCCGATCTATCGGGCGTCACGAATTGGCGGGGCTACCACAAGCCCATCATGATTGCTGGTGGTATGGGAACTGTTCGGCCCCAGCATGCTATCAAGGAGGAGCAACATGTTCGAGAGGGCGCTCATGTCATCGTTCTCGGAGGCCCTGCAATGCTCATTGGCCTGGGTGGCGGTGCCGCGTCCAGCAGCGACTCTGCAGAAAGCAACGCGGATCTCGATTTTGCCAGTGTTCAGCGTGGCAATCCTGAGGTAAGCAGATGTCTTGCTGAATGATGATTCAAACACCTGGGAAAACAGCTGCTAATAACAGCACAGATGGAACGACGCGCGCAAATGGTCATCAACACCTGCACTGCCCTGGGCGACCAGAACCCGATTGGCATGATCCACGATGTTGGTGCTGGTGGACTGTCCAATGCTCTTCCTGAGCGTGAGTTTCTGCACCCCCTGGTATTGTACAATTGCAGTGCTAACTTTTATCAGTTGTGAAGGATGCTGGATACGGAGGAAAATTTGAGCTTCGCCAAGTGGAGAGTATGGACCAGAGCATGAGCCCGTTGGAGATTTGGTGCAACGAGGCTCAGGAGCGATATGTCCTGCTTATCAACGCTGACGGCATGAACCGCTTCACGAGCATCTGCCGACGTGAGCGATGCGGATTTTCCGATGTTGGAACCGTGGTCTCCAAGGATGAGCACGGAGTCACCAGTCTGATTCTCACCGACCGAGAGTCTAAGGAGTACCCCAGGCCGATTGACTTGCCCATGGATGCTCTGTTTCCCCCTAAGCGCCTGTTGGAGAGAGACGTTGCCTCCAAGAAGCCCAACGTGCTTCCTTTCCATGCCCTGGCCAGCCTGCAAAAGGCATATGGAGAATTGAGCGGAGCTGACTTGTTCAAGAAGGCTGTTGAGCGCGTCTTCTTAATGCCATCGGTTGGCTCCAAATCCTTCTTGATTACCATTGGTGATCGATCCGTCGGCGGTCTCACCGTGCGCGATCAGATGGTCGGACCTTGGCAAACACCTGTTGCGGACGTTGCGGTAACAGCTACGTCGTTCCACCTTGATACCAAGCAAAAGACTGGTGAGGCCATGGCAATGGGTGAGAAGCCTACGCTTGCGATGATCGATCCCGCCGCTTCTGCTAGAATGGCCATTGCCGAGAGTCTGTTGAACATTGGCGCTGCTGACGTCGGGTCTGATATGCGCCGCATTAAGCTCTCTGCCAACTGGATGGCTGCTGTGAACCATGCTGGCCAAGGGGCTGCTCTGTTTGAAGCAGTCCAAGCGGCCATGGAGATGTGCACTAAAATCAACGTCAGCATTCCTGTCGGCAAGGATTCCACATCAATGAAAGCATCTTGGAAGGACGGAGAGCACTCGAAGAACGTCACGGCACCAGTCTCTGTGGTCATTTCCGCATTTTCTACTGTGCGTGAGATTCGCAGCACTTGGACTCCCCAGCTTCGCAGGGTGGAAGACGTTGGCGAGACTTCTCTCATGTTTGTCGATCTCGCAGAGGGACGCAGGGCTATGGGTGGCTCGGCGCTCGCACAATCTCTCGGCGCTATTGGAGACACGGTGCCTGACATGAAGAACTTTGATCTCATCACAGACTACTTTGATGCCCTGTCCCAGCTTCACAGGAGCGGCGTTGTCCTTGCTTATCACGACAGGTCTGACGGTGGTCTGATGGCGACCGTGGCGGAAATGATGTTTGCTGGTCGCTGTGGCGTTGACATGATGCTGGATGGAATCACCAAGTCAGGCAGCCCTGAAGACATCATCGAGGCCATGTTCAACGAAGAGCTTGGTGCCGTGTTCCAGATCCGCACTGAGGATGAAATCAACTTCAAGCGATGCTTCGCTACCTGCGGACCTCCACCTGGATTAATCCGCAAATTCGGTGTTGTTCGAACAACTGGCAAGCAAAACCTCAACATCCGTTACGGAGGCACAACTTTCGCCACCCTTGACCGAACCGAGATGCAGCAGTGGTGGTCCAAGACGTCTTTCGAGATGCAGAAGATCAGAGACAACTCTGCGTGTGCCGAGTCTGAGTTCTCAACCATTGCCGACTCTGCGGACCCCGGCATTACGTACAAGCTGTCATTCAACCCTGCCGAGAAGATTGAGTCTCTGATGTCTCCCATCACCGGCCTCTTTAGAAAGACCCCCCGCGTTGCTATTCTCAGAGAGCAGGGCGTCAATGGTTACGCAGAGCTCGCCTACGCTTTCAGGGCTGCCAACTTTGAACCCATTGACGTCCACATGACGGACATTCTGGATGGCCGATCACTTGCCGACTTCACCGGTCTGGCAGCCCCTGGAGGCTTCTCGTACGGTGACGTCCTCGGCGCTGGCCAGGGCTGGGCCAAGTCGATTCTGATGCACGATAACACGCGCAGAGAGTTTGCCGCCTTCTTTAAGCGTCCCGACACCTTTGCGCTGGGTGTGTGCAACGGCTGCCAGATGCTCACCAGGATCAAGGAGCTGATCCCCGGCGCCAAGGACTGGCCCACTTTCGTGGACAACACCAGCGAGCAGTTCGAGGCCCGCTACAGCATGGTCAAGGTGGAGGTCGACAAGTCCAAGCCCTCCGTCTTCTTCCACGGCATGGACAGCTCCGAGCTGCCCATTGTCGTGTCCCACGGAGAAGGCCGCGCCTCCTTCTCCTCGCCAAACTCCCTCCAGACCTTGACGGAGTCTGGCATGGTGCCCCTGCGATACGTTGACAACCGCGGCAACGTGACGGAGCAGTACCCGTACAACCCCAACGGCAGCCCGATGGGTGTTGCCGGTGTGTCCAGCCCCGACGGCCGTGTCGTCGCCATGATGCCTCACCCCGAGCGCACTATTATGGCAGACATTACCAGCTACGCGCCTCCAGAGGATCTTGAGCAATGGGGCGAATTCGGCCCCTGGCTGAGAATGTTCCGCAGTGCCCGCAGATGGGTCGGTTAGAGAGACTGACGTGTGACTTTTTACTGACAACTTGTTTCCATTTATATGTATAGTAAAAAAAAAATCGAAACTTTAGAAAATATTCAACACTGTGGAAGGCGTAGGGTGGATTGATTGATTACGGACTGGTTTTACAAGGATAGGGGAATTTTTTCCATACAAGAACAAATCAAGATTGAACATTGCAACATATTGTAACTTGAGCTGTATAACTCTTTTCTTGTGCGACGATGAATGTTTTTTGAGTATTGTGTGTGCCACTTGCGCATTTCCCACTTGCAGTTTAAACAGTCATTTTGATTCGGCCGAGTACCTATACAGGCCCAGCTCGCTCAGGGGTATTTCCTGCCCTCCTTGATGCTATTGAATTATATAAAAAGAGAACATGCCGAATTATCATCAGCTGCGCCTATTCGCCCATTTCAAAAAAAAAATTCAAATTGTTCTTCTTTCAAATCGTTTACAATGCTGGCCCTTCCCATGCATCCCTCCACAGCCTGACATGCCACGACTGTTTATGCGGAAAGGAAATCTGCCTCTCCTTTCCAAAACCCGCTTCGTCTAGATGCCGCAACATTCTATTCAGGTATTAGTAACAAAGCAACATTTTAAAGAGGACAAGGGGAAAATGGTTCTTACCTCTCATTATCAATCCTCGGCTCCAGCGACACGCTCATGGTCCGATTATCCGCAATAAAGCACCAATGCACAAGACTCGTCAGCCACGCAGGCACTCTGCCCCTCGCCCACTCCTCGCCAATAAAGACATGAACGCCACGATCAAAATCGCCCGCGCCCGTGGCCAGGTGTCGACCGAGAATGTCCTCCTTGACCCAGTATATCTCAAAGTAGCCAAAGGGGGTGCCGTCCCACGCAGCAATAACGGGGAACGAGTGCCGCTTCTGGAGGGCGTCTTCGAGGAAGCCGGGCTTGTACTCGCCCCAGAACTCGCTGACTCGGGGTTTCGCCATCCACGTTTGGAGCAGCTGCATGTCTGTTAAAGAGGTCAAGTGTGCGTGTTCCGTGGGCTTGGATCCAATGGGGCCTAGGTAGGGCACTGGTTTCGTCGACGTCGAGGCAACCCGCAGAGACAGGTATCGTCCAACACTGGGTACGAAGCGCGAATAGAAAATCTCCCCCATCCTATGGGGTTTCGGCCGCACCGGGTGTCGAACGCCGTCTGTGAAGGTGTACTGCAGCGGCGGAGGAGGAAAATACGTCGGGAGATGCGACGACGAGTAAAAGGGCCCCAGGGGCACGGTATGCGTCGTTGGAACGCTCGTGGGCATCGGCCCGCCCGGCAGATCGTTATCCATGCGCGCGAGGCTGTCCATGGACGGGTACTGGCTCATGGCCAACTCGCTGTGGGGAGAGCTGGGACGACTAGTCACCGGCGACCCGGGCACAGACGAGAAGGCGCGGTTGTTGGGCTGCAGCGTGAAGAGGAACAGGTGGCCCGGGATCTGCCAGAACATGCGCTGCGAGACAAACATGCGCGCCCACTCGTCGCCGCCGTCATCGGGGCTCGTGCCGCACGACGAGTCTGCCGCGGCAATCAGGCCCATGCGCTCCAGCTTGGGGATCAGGTTGCGGCCGCGCAGCACGCCGTCGCGCTTGATGTTGATGCGCCACTCGCCGCGGGGCTTCGCATCGTCGGGCGTGTCTCTGGCGGCGAGCACGTCGAGCTGGGCGCTGGGCTTGGGCTGGTGGAAGTACCAGTACAGCGTCACCCACAGCATCATGGCGATCTGGCGCGTGGGGCTGGCGGCGGGCTTGAAGTCGGAGTTGGACGGGTTCGAGATGGACGAGATGAAGAGCGTGTCGTTGAGCAGCGTCGGGCGCACAAAGGGGTGCACGCGCGTCTTTGTGCGCGACGACGCCGGCCGCGACGATCGGCTGCGGTTGCTGTAGTCGTCGTTGTCGTCGTCGTTTTGGCTCTCTTTATCGTCAGCCTCGTCGGCATCGCTGCGGCGGCGGCGCTCGTAGGGCTCAAAGGGCGACTCGACCTCCTCCTCGGTGTGCAGCACGACGTTCCAGCCGACGGGGAAGGCGTTGGGGTGCATGTTCATCTCGTGGCTCTTGAAGCCGAGGCCGGCGAAGACGGGCGTGACGGTGAAGGTCTGGCCATCGGGCAGATGCAGCAGCTGCGGCGCCATGGCCAGTGTGCTTTATTGTGCCTTGTTATGCTCGAGGAACTGTGCAGATGAGTAGAGGAGATGAAGACGTCAATGGGTGCAGGATCGAATAGATGGATGTCGTAGCATCAGCGGCAGAGGATGGTGTCTGAGCTGGATGTGATGATGGTGTGGGGAGAGCAAAAAGAGCCAGCGGGGGCGGGGTAACTGCAGCAGCTGAAGAGGAGCTGTTTGCAGAGCCCTGGAGCGCTTATGGCTGTGCCCCGGATTTATATCCCCAGTGGTTGCAGTGCAGGTACAATTCGCTACAGCTACAGCCTTGCGATACAGAGAGATGGAGTTCTGCTGTTTGTCAGATGCTAACAATGAGAGCGGGTGACATTCCAGCACCCAACACCAACAGCATCTCCATCACATGGTTTGATTCCCAATACGACGATCCTTCTCTCACCCGCTTCATGCCACAGCCGACAAACTCTGTACAAACAAACATCCGCCAACGGCTGCTGTGGTCTGACCAAGCACAAATAGTCTTGCGCCACTGCCTCTTTATGCTTGCTTTCGAAGCTCCAGACAGCTGATGGTGGCACACTAGGCAAATAGACCCATTTCGGCTGGACGGACCGCGTCGTTGATCCGGCAAAGGTCGCCGAGTCATGTTCTCCGCCGGAAGCTGTCTTAGGTAAGAGAGTTGGAAACAATGCTCTTCTCTTTGCTTACTTTGCTCCTCTACCTTATGCTATAGACTATAATTCCAGCTCGCATCTACATCTACAAACGCCATGATATATATATACGATGCAATATATGTAAACTCATTGCCTCATAAAAGAAAACCTTTACTCAGACTTTACTCCTCCTTTCTCTTCTTCGGCTGCTGCATCGTGTCGTCATCACCGACAACATCATCCTCATCCTCATTCTTCTTCCTCCCATTCCTCTCCTTCTCCAGAATCTCCTTCACCTCCTCTCCTCCAAGATCCTTCATCTCGTCCCAGTCATACCCGTACTCCACCGCCGCAGCCTTGATTTCTCGCCGCAGCGTATTCGCCTCGTGCACCAGGTGCTCCCACTTCTGCGGATCAAACCCTCGCTCCTGGTACAACGCATGCTGCCGCCGCGACACCGTGATGTTCATCGCCGCCTTGTAGCTCAGGTCTCGGCTGATGAACAGGAACCACAGGTAGCCGCCCATGATGGTTGCGAGCCCGGCCAGGTACGTGACCGGCTCGACCAGATCCCATCCAAACTCGGTGTGGAACGTCACGTAGTAGACAACTCCCCACCAGGCGGCCAGAGCTGCGAATCCTCCCTGGGCCAGGCGATGCGCCCCCTTGTGCGCCAAGAGATCGCACTCCGACTTGATCTTGCTCATCTGGTCAATGTCTTTCGACATCCGCCGGAGCTGCAGCCGCATGTAGTACGTCCGATCCCTGAAACTAGGCACCGCCACCCGCAGCTCATGGTGGAACCCTTCAATGTTGATTGCAAACTCGCGGCCCCGAGCCGCATCTCGGATGAAGTCGCCAACCTCTGTGCTGCCACTCCATCGAACCCAATTCGCCTCCTCATCGTTTGTGGGACCCTCGCGGCCCAGTCCAGAGTACGACGCAACATTGCTCTTGCCGCGCTCGCTTGATTTGCCGGGAGTCTCCTTATGGTCGGCTTCGGCTCGGAAGATGATGTCGGGTAGCTTTTCGCGGCCTCGGACAACCAGGGGAGGAATCTCTGCCTGTATCAGCCGCTCGAGGTATGAAAGCGGCTGCTGGGGATGCACCAGCAGCGCCAGCGGTTCTACCCTTTTCCCGTTGTTCTTGTAGTCTTTGTCTTCCGATTCGTTAATCGTATCTTGCTGGGGGTGGAATGGCATGGGCAGTATAATCTTTAGCAAGCGAGTCGGCGTCGTGAGAACCCGTCCTGCAAACTCAACATGTCAGTTTCCCAAGGTCGATTGTTTGACATGTATAATTTGAAAATACCTTTGGACTCGTCTCCCCCAGAAGGATCCGGCGACGTCTCTTTGTACTGCTTGCTCCCACTCAACCGGTGCCACGGCCTATCATCAGCCTTTTTCTGCGCCCCATGGCGTTTGGCGTCTTTCCCATCCGCCTCCTCGCCCTTTTCGGGCAATTTCCTTGACTTGCTCTTCGATTCGTCCTCGTATACCGCTTTCGAAGTCGAAAAAGCCCTTGAGGGCACGTGAAATCGCTGCTGGATGCTTGGTTGAAGCCATTGGTGCGGTCTCGTGCAGTTTGCGCCTCGCAGCAGTGCCCGCGGCCTGGAAATCAGCGGCAAGACGCCGAGGCTTGATCGCGCACTAGCCGCAAACATTGCATATTAGAGCCTCGTCAGTCATAAAAAAGTCGAATTGAGTATGATTGATGGGATAATCCAGGGTCAGGGTCTTGGCGGTATAAATACAATGGAAGCCAAGAAGCTGGACCGTGAAGCTGGTTCCTTGGAAGACCAATAATGATGACGTCATGTGCCGCGTCGGCGATCAATTGTGGCTCCCCTGCAGCCAATCCGTGTTAGTGCTCTCACCATTGAAATTGCCAGTTTCAGCTTGCAGAACGATACAGTAGTAATGGCAGCAAGAGACAAAGCGTTGAAGCCCATTTTATTCAACTCATTAAATTTGGCTGGCATGGTTAAATTTTTATAGGGGTTGTGAATAAACTCAAGCCCATCCGTGGTGGCTTGTATTAGTGCACTGCGAGAAACTCAAGCCAGAAGGAAAGCAGAAGAGGCTTTGTAAGAGGATTCGACCGAAGGCTACTTTCTTCGCAGCATAAAGTTAAATATAGAAATTATAAGTGTAAAAAAGAGGCCGTTGGCACGGCAGCGCGGTATAAAAGAAGCTACAAGTCAGTATTGGCTTGTTTCTCTTTAATCGCTTCCTGTCTGACCCGCCGTTCCTCTTCTCTGAGACGTCGTTCTTCATCTCGAGCTTGGTGCTCCTCCTCAAAACGCCACTGCTCCAAGAACATCTGCTTCTCTTGGGCAATATGCTCCTGTTCTGTCTTCTCCAACAACTGTGAAACTGATGAAAGAAGCTACAAGGCAGTATTGGCTTGTCGTCTTTAATTGAAAATGCCCTGGAAATCCACATGGTTTATGGATTCAGACTCTGATTAAGCTCTATGGCGCTTCTGGGTGAACCTTTTTCGAAATTGAGACCAAAGCCTATTCTACAATTAATCAGCCATTAGGGACCAACAGTGTATATATTGCGCCCCTTTTCCCCAAATGTCTGCTTCTTTCTTTCTTTTTACATCGCATCTCTACGAGTCAGTCTTGGAAGTTCATACAACGTCTTGCTGCAGTAACTACTTGTACATTCGGCATCCCAGACTTTATCGCTTCTGGATACGGATATACACTTACGCCTACTTTTCTATTGACATGGTATGTCTACACAATCTTCCCATCAGCCTCTTTGTCTAGATTATATTTACCAACTTAATGTCCTATTGTGACATCTTATAGCTATAGTGTATACGCAGGCCAATACTAGACTTTACACCTTTTGCCACACGAGCGACGTCCCTTCTCTCACTACACAATGAACCCCATCTCTTCCAACCCCGTCTCTTCCAACCCCGTCTCTTCCAACCCCGTCTCTTCCAATCCTGTCTCTTCCAACCCCGTTTCTTCCAATCCTATCTCAACCACCAGGGGAGACGATGACAGCCAAGAAAATGACGCTCCCTTCGTAAACGCCCTCCCACGTCCTGGGACTGCCCAACGACAACCCGTGGCATCGACCGCATACCAACTCGGCCCTCGAATCCGACAGACCAAGAAATATCTTGACTTTGCCATATACGAAGACGAGACGGTCCACCCAATACCACAATCCCGCCGTGAATACTACGGCAGCAACCTCCCAGCCCTCGCCGACATCTTCAGCGGGAGAAAATACAGTTACGCCCCGCATAATGTGTGGCATCGCGGGCTCTACAACCTCATCCATGGAGCGTCCATGACGGAGATGATATTGTCAAAAACACGTTGATAGCCGTCTAAAGGAGCCTCGGCGAGGTGGCTCTAAGTACAACGCGCCACCGGGTGCTACGAATGGGTTGCCGCGTGCGATCCTCAGGACGTCTGGCTGTGGTTCCAAGATAAAGAATACCACCTACTCTGGAGCACGACTCGGGAGAGACTCTTTGTCATCTTCCTTGGGAGGATGGCACGGATGTTGAGGACAGCGAGGAGGCCCGCCTGGTGATGGTCAGAGATGAGCCCAGGGCCCAGCTCATTAAGACGACGTTTGAGAGACTGGGCATTCAGAACCTGACTGTGGAGAAGTATAGGCTCAATGTCCATTTCACCCCTCGTAGAGAAGATATGCACGTCATTTATAGACGTAACTTTACGGAGAATTAACGGCGTCACATTGACGTGCTTTTCCCGGGGCATTGGGCGCCTGGACAGGAGAGGAATCAATGAGGTGGTGTATCATGCGATATGCGAGGGACGTGATGTCGTGAAGCCCACCTGGGATGCTGTTCTTACGATCAGCAACGTAGGAACGCATATGTAGAGTCAAAAAAGCTTACTCTATCTATGATACGGGATCTGTGGCTACTATATAGGTGTGGGTGACTTCATCCATCTTTCCTTTCCCGGGGATGTCAGGGCAAGCGTCCCCCAACATGGTGAGATGTACCGGCCAGGGTATAGGTTTGAGGGGGGTAATATGACTGTGACTGCGGCATGTTGTTCTAAAGACGTTGCGGTTTAAAGGGGCTATATGGCGATGGCGTTTATATAGGATTGATGCCCAATCATTCGATATTGTTTCGGCTTGGATCGGCAGATTCAAGCCTCAATACCCTTTTTCAACGTCTCGGATTTCTTTTGTGATGATAATTTTGAATACTATTCTGGAAAAACTAGAACACATTTGTTTCAATGAAATACAATACAAGATTTAACCACAATGGCGCCTGTTTCTATTTCCACTGCCGATTTATTGAGAATCTGCAAAAAATGATCCAGACTAAGATGACGAGGATGACTCGATCCGTCTTGCGGCGGATGCGGTGACTGTCCTCCTCGTTACAAAACTTAGGTGCTGATAGCATTAGTTACTAGTGTAATAGATTGAATCATAGGTGAGCTCGACTTGGCTTCTTTTTTGCCGCAGTCAATGTCCATGCTGGCTTTTTTGTGTCTTTCGTGGGTGTTGCGAGCTTCAGTTCCGAGGACAGAACCATCAAAAAACTGGCGTAATAAGGCTATATTCAAGGATTCTTTTTTTTTTTTTTTCTTCTTTTTTTCTTGGTTCTTTCTTTCGGGTTTTTTTTTTTTTTTTTTTGTTTATGAAAGTATTAAACGATGTAGGTCCTTGATTGATACGTCATAGATATTTTATTGAGTAGCTGCACCCGGAGTCACTCAAGAAATACTTGGGATATTGGCGACGTTTTCCAAACTCAACCAACAACGTACAAACTATAGTACTACGCTTCCAGTGCACCAGAGGGACAATCATGATTCGAGATCAGTCCCAAGTGTCATTTGGCTTGGGATATCTGGGTTGCGTTGGCTTTCACCAAGAGATATTCTTCACAGTATCATAAGTCGTATGGTGTAGATACCTCGCCGAGCGTGAGGAAACCCGCATTTCGGCAAGGTTCAATACTAGCCAACGTTGGGTATTATGTTTGATGAAACCTCAAACTGTAAAAATAAAACTATCGAACCATCTACCAGAAGCTGTAACACAAGATAGATGTCCGTTTATAGGATCGCCTAATGTTGCATCGACAACGGCTCGTACTCGTATTCCCCCAATCTTGGACCCTGCAAGCTAGCGGCTGTTTAGGCGTGGTGGGGGTTGCAGCAGGCCCCGCGCCAGGCGAAAAAGAAAATCGCTTCTGGCCGCCACCAATGGTTTGGCTCCAAAGGAACAAGAAAGGAGATGAATCGAGCAATTAGCGGCGCAAATACAGAGCAGGGCGCTATAATTTAGCGCCTAATCAGATAGCATGCGGGTGCCTGAGCTGGGCGGTGTGAAAGTGATGAATTGGCCGTGCTAGTCGCTTTTGCGCCCAACACCATCCATTCTCGCCAACTTCTCCTAATCGCCTTCGAGCATCTCGTCCCATTGTTCTCTCTTGCAGCAGTCGTTGAGATACCGGTCGCACAAGAAACAGGACAGAGCCACGCAGACCCCAGTTCCGTCACTTGTCGCATTTCACAGCATCAGCCTTCGCCATGTCAGACACAAAGGTCTACCGCGCGAGCACCACCGCTCCCGTCAACATTGCCGTTGTCAAGTACGTCCAGGCATTGAGCCTCGAGAGTTGCTGCAAGGAGAAACAGACAATCAGAGAAGAATAGACTGCTAACATCAACCAGATACTGGGGCAAGCGCGATGCCAAGCTCAACCTCCCCACCAACAGCTCCCTCTCCGTGACGCTCTCGCAAAACGACCTCCGCACCCTCACCACCGCCTCCTGCTCCTCCACCTACTCGGGCGACGACAGCCTCCTCCTCAATGGCGAGCCCTCTGACATTTCCGGCGCGCGAACCCAGGCCTGCTTCCGCGAGCTGCGCGCCCGCCGAGCCGCTCTCGAGGCTGCCGACGCCTCTCTGCCCAAGCTGTCGACCTTGCCCCTGAATATTGTCTCCGAGAACAACTTTCCCACAGCCGCTGGCCTGGCCTCGTCCGCTGCTGGCTTCGCCGCCCTCGTCCAGGCCATCGCCAACCTCTACGAGCTCCCCGACTCGCCCGCGGAGCTGTCCATCATTGCTCGCCAGGGCTCTGGCTCTGCCTGCCGCAGTCTGTTCGGCGGCTACGTCGCCTGGAGAATGGGCGACAACAAGGACGGCAGCGACTCCAAGGCTGACCTCGTCGCCCCCGCATCGCACTGGCCCTCCATGCGAGCCCTGATTCTGGTCGTCAGCGCCGCCAAGAAGGGCGTCTCCTCCACCTCCGGCATGCAGCAGACCGTCGCCACCTCTGGCCTCTTCAAGTCGAGAATAGAAACCGTCGTGCCCGCCAACATGGCCCTCATGGAGGACGCCATCAAGAACCGCGATTTCCCCAAGTTCGCCGAGGTCACCATGCGCGACTCCAACTCGTTCCACTCCACCTGCGCCGACACCTACCCCCCCATCTTCTACATGAACGATGTTTCCAGGGCCGCAATCCGCGCCGTCGAGGCCATCAACGCTCAGGCGGGCAAGACCGTCGCCGCCTACACCTTTGATGCCGGCCCAAATGCCGTCATCTACTACCTGGAGGAGGATGCGGCCACAGTGCTGGGTGCCTTTGCGCCGCTCGTCGCCGCCACGGAGGGCTGGAAGGAGGGAAGCGCCGCAACCGCCACCGTCAAGCTGGACGAGGGCATTGCAAGCACAATCAAGGAGGGCGTCAGCAGAGTGATTATGACGGGCGTTGGCGAGGGTCCGCAGAAGACGGAGGAGTTTTTGATTGCTGAGGATGGCACGCCTGTGAAGCGATAGAGGGGGCAAGTGACAAAATTTGGCGTTTTGACGGGATGTAATGAGCTGTGCATAAGTCTCCAGCGAACAAAAAGTTGATACACATCTATAGATGCATTAGAGACGGAAAATAATTTATTTTGAATAATCACCATGTTTAAAATCCGCTGATTGGCCGTTGCGTGGCTCAGGCAGCTGCCGGTACTCTATATTTTCTGCCACTTTTGATTCACCTGCCATGCGCAACCTCACCCCTGCAACAGACAGCTTTCCTTCTGCACCATTCACGCCAAGCCTGGCACACGCTTCACACTTGACTCTCTTTTTCCTCTCACCTAATTTGAGTCTTTCTGTTCTCTCATTGTATTGTTGCTGTCCCTTTTTCATTTTCTAGGCAGCCGCGTACCGCGACTCTCCCTACATCTACAGGCCCAGCATCCATTTCAAGCTTACTGCTGCGCCTGCAAGCTTGAGGTGAATCAAAACAGCCATGTTGCCAGACGAGGACGATCCGATGGAGAAGATGACGGATCTGCTGGCCTGGGGCAACGATGTCGAGATTGTAGAGCTTGATAAATCAGGCCACCCGCAGCAGCAATGGCTCCATGCCCACGACGGCCACATCTTGCCTGTGAGCTCTTCCATCTCTCTTTCTTCCCCTTCCACCATGCGTATCCGAGAAGCACATCAGACTCTAATCATCAATCTAGATTCAGTTCAAGAAAACATCCAACAGCCTGTTCTCCCGCTCTTTTCGAGAATGGCGCAAGGCAATCATGGACTCGTTCCTGCCTGTCGGATTCCCGCACTCCGTCTCAAAAGACTACCTCGCATATCAAACGTTTGATTCTCTCCAGGCCTTCTTTTCCACCATCAGCTCGCTCCTTGCCAACCGTGCTCTGCTTCAGGGTCTGGGAGTTGGCGATGCCTCGTCTTCCGCTACGTTTGCCCTTCTTCTCACAATCATGAAGGATGCCATGTCTCGCATTGCCACCATCGTCTTTGCCCACCGCTTCGGACTTCGCATCGAGCCAGATGCCAAGCGATACCGTTTCCTGGCCGATGTTTTCAACGACAGCGCCTTCTTCTTGGAGCTGTACAGTCCGTATCTGGGCTCGTGGGGCAAAGTCATTGCGCTCAGTACAGGTCAAGCGCTCAGGGCTTTATGCGGTGTTGCCGCTGGTGCCAGCAAGGCGGCGCTGAGCGTCCACTTTGCGAAACATGATAACCTGGCAGAGCTCAACGCAAAGGAAGCCAGCCAGGAGACAGCTGTGGGATTGATCGGTCTACTTGTGGGAACGCTGGTGGTCAAGATGATTGAGGATCACTCCAGTGTTGTTATTCTGATGATTCTCCTTGTTATTGCCCATCTCGGGACGAATTATCTTGGCGTCCGCAGTGTCTGTATGGCAACACTGAACCGCCAACGAGCTACCATTGTGTTTGAAGAATTCCTCAGAAGCGGCAAAGTCTTGACTCCCGAGCAAGTGGCCGAAAGAGAAAACATCATCTTCTGGAATCCCATCATGCGCAATCTTCATGGAAAGAAAGTAGTCCACGTCGAATTTGCCGAAGGCTATAGCCACGCCATGAGCTGCTCCGATCCACATGACAAGCTCATCATTGTCGATGGCATCAACCATACCCGGTTCATCTGTTCTCGCGTCCCTGGTCGTGTCACTCCCATCAAGCTACTTCTCTGGGTCGGAGCTCAGCCTATCGATGCCATCCGAGCCTGGTTTGCCGCTATGGAAGTCGCATGGCTGATGGGCGACAATGGCGCATACACGCAGAAACTGGACCAAATGTTCTGCGACGCCGGGGTCGAGGGCAATGGCAGGAAGTTTAGCATCGCGGGCAGGGACAGGGATAGTGATTTTGTGCCAAAGTTTAACAGTCCCGGCCTCTGGGCCAAGCTGGCAGAGCAAGGCTGGGATGTTGAGACGCAGTCTTTGGAGACGAAGGCCCCTGTGCGGCTGCAGATTCGGCGTGCGCGCTCGAAGAAGGCCTAGATGAATTCTGCTTCCAAGAGAAGTGCGATGATGGATACGCTGCGGAGAGGTTTCGCTTCCTGTTCACCAGATGTGGCTGGTACTGTATTATACAAGTTAAACGAAGGTGGGACATGACGATGGAATGATAGATAGGACCATAAAGATGGAATGACAAGTCGCAGCTACTCGTATGAGCAAATCTCTTATAATCATAATTGTACAGGGAGATTGTATTATACAAAGAGCCTCACCAGCTCTGCTTATATCTGTCTAACGCAGCATGCTTTTTTATACCCGGTCCCAAAAACGCCCCATTTTATACATCTCAAACATGAATCATACCAAAGGAGAAGCACATCACCCCGTTCTTTCAAGTCTCCTTTCTCTCATGCAAGCCCAGTCCACTTCCAAGCCCGCATCTTCACACCCTCCCACGTATTCAGCTTCGGCCGCACATCGAGATAGAAACTCGGCCCTCCGGCCGTACCGCCAGGCCGGCCGGCGTAAAAGTCAATCACGTAGTCGACGCGGGTGCCGCAGCGGTCAATGACCCAATCGTGGCGGTCAAAGGGCGCGGTGTAGCCGAGGATGGTGTTTATGCGGGCGGTGGGGGTCATGCGCTCGCTTTTGTTGGCGAAGGAGGTGAGTTTGGGGCCACCGCATCTGTTCAACCACCATGTTAGATGTGAATCTCCAATAGAGGGAGAGAGGTTACGCACTTTGAATCAATGAGATACGGAGCCTCCCACTCCTTAATCTTCTCCCACGCCCGCTCGTTGACGGCATTGTGGATCGGCACAACCGTCCTCATGTCCACCTCGCGAGCGTCATAGCCCTTGCGCTTCATGGCGTCGAAGAACATCTTCTCCGAGGGGTAGACCCAGTTGCCCGAAGCGTCGCGGCCAGACTCAATCTCGGCATTGGACGGGTTCGCAGAGGCGCCGTGGTCGACGGGGCAGTCGTCTGCGTCTGCGGAGAAGGATCGCGGGATGGACGAGGTTACGCGGCCGTTGTCGAGGCCGGGCTGGGCATGTGAAGGTATCGTGGGGTGGTTGGCGGGGAGGGTTGGCGTCTCGGGAGACCAGATGAGGGAGGAGATTTTCTGGGTCCACGAGGATGTTGCTTTGGAGGAGTGGTCGACAGGGCATGTTGCCGGTTGGGTTTGGTTTGGGAGTTGGCTCTGCTTGGAGGCTTCGGCGGCGCGGGCGGCTTGGAGCCAGGCATCGCGGGTTTTGTGGTCGACCGGACAGGAGTCGGCGTTGTCTGCCATGCTCGATGCTCTGTTGTATTTTCTATTAATTGGTGTTGATGTATGTTTTTGTATTTTGAGCTAGTTGGGTGCTTGGATAGCTCAATGGGATGTTGAAAGAGAGGTTTGTGGCTGGCCGAATTGGAATTCAGAGATTAATAATTTTTTTTCTGGATGCTGGCGCAGACCGATATGGGACGTTTTTGCGATCGCGACATTGTTGGCTTGAGCCGAGAATTTGCCGGGATGTATGTGATATTACGGACACTTGATAACATCTACTATTTATTACAAGAAGTACAGTAATTGATATCTACGGATATAAATATTGGTATGGATTGATAAAAAAATAAGATAAAATAAAGTGAGAGAAAGTAGTCGAGTGGGTTGATACGAAGAGCTGGGTAGTAAAATTGTAGGGTGAGACCCAGTGCAAGTTGACAATCTTGTCATATGATCAACTCTGGCGTCAACCTTCTCAAGCCATTCATATCCTTGTCATCATAGATTTCAGTCCTGTAATATTTATGTTGCTATTGTATGATTCAAACACTTTTTTCTCAAAGCTATAGGCAGTCAGAATTGTTATCGTGGTCCACATTTTGTCTCCGTGGTGGGTATTATGAAATCATACAGCGCTCTTCTGAAGTCATGCAGATGACATCGCCGAGTTTCTATCAGATATAAATACTGTGAAATCACTGCTCAAGTCTTGAATCTCATAGCAGTAAAAATTCATTCTTCTTAAAAAATCGCTCAGATTATACCGTGATATTCTCAAAATGCCCAACTACGAGGAAATCTCACGTCGTGCCGAGGCCGACCTCAACACCTACCAATCCAAGACTGGCAACGCTCGTCCACAAGGCCTGGACGACGCTGGTGTCAACTCTTATGCGGAAAAGAAATTCGACTCTGCCAAAGTCACCTACGGAGATGACTTGAGCACAAATAGAGGCTACAACAAGCGTATTCCTCCAAGCGAGGGAGGAGACCTCGATGCCCGCGGCAGGTGAGTCAACTTAATGGAGTCGTGTGATACCTCATCAAATGCCAATTCACATGGCTTGAACAGACAAGCTACAGGCAATCTCTACGAAGGTAAAGGAGGACCCGACGACAAAATTGCCGAATCATACCGTCAGCAAGGCGGCCAAAACGACAACGATGTTGTAAGCGCACGAGTGCCCGACACTGAAGGCCTCGGCAGCGCCAACGATATTGCGACGCAGGGAAAGATTGCGTCCAAGACAAACGTTGGCAGCAATCCGGCGGGACCTGGAGGATCGAAATTCAAGGGCAGCGAGTATTATACGCCTGAGAGCGTGCCCGATAGCATCTCTGCAGAGGGGTGGATAGCGCCGGAGAGTGTGACGGAGGCGAGTCGCGAGACGGAGGGGTATTCAAAGTGATGAATTGATAACATGTAAAAGCGAAAACATGAATGAATGAACATCAATTGTATCTGTTTCTTTTTTCCCCAAGTCGTGGTGTAAGTGAGCGTGTAAGTGCCGGCTAGTGCGTCATAGTCTGTCACTGCTTATCGGCCTTATCGCTAGCCGCGAGCGCATGTTGTAGCGTGACCTGCTGAGCCGCTACTCTACAGCATCCCCAAGCTTAATTCAGAGCTCATCAGCCCAATGATGCTCTTTTCTCTATCATGAGTCACCCGTGGTGCTTGATTCCTTAGAATGTCTAGCCAGTCCCCGTCTGCGTCGGGGCTTCTTCCCATGCCGGGATCGCCGTCGTCCTCGTGGGCAGTCTACGGCTCTCGGTTTACGAACTTGGTCAAGCATCCCAGCACGAGAGTCGTGGTTGCTTTCTGGCTACTTGGTGCGCACTCCAACCCGATCACTAGCCATGCATATCCAGTGCGACATGCAACTGAGCTAACAATTTGTCTTGCGATAGGCCTAATCAATAATGTGCTCTATGTCATCATCCTCTCCGCCGCCCAAGACCTCGTCGGCTCGCTGCCAAAAGGCGTCGTCCTCCTCGCCGATGTCGTGCCCTCGTTCTTCACAAAGCTCATCGCCCCCTATTTCATCCATCGCGTGCCGTACCCAATACGAGTCCTCGTCTTCATCGCGCTATCCGCTGGCGGCATGCTGATGATTGCGCTTACGCCTCCGTCAAAATCGGTGCCTGTCAAGATGGTGGGCGTTGTCCTGGCCAGCCTGAGTAGCGGCGGAGGGGAGCTCAGTTTCTTGGGACTTTCTCATTACTATGGACATGTGAGCTTGGCGGGATGGGGATCTGGCACGGGCGCGGCAGGGCTGGTCGGCGCTGGGCTTTACGTACTATTGACAGATTGGTGGGGATTCACCGTCCAGCAGAGCCTGCTCTTCTCGGCGTGTCTCCCCGCCATCATGTTCATCAGCTTCTTCTTCGTGCTCCCGCTAGAACCGCTACGACAAGGCAGTGCGCTAAAAGAGTATGATGCTGTTCCCGGAAGAGACGAAGATGAAGTGGATGGAGACCCGACGGAGCAGGAATTGGCGGCCAGTACTTCTGCCCTGCTTGCGCCAGAGCCTTCTGTCCTTTCGGCAAACACCGCCTACGCGATGAACAAGGGCGATGGACACTCGCTCAAGAACAATCTGCGAAGAGCAAAATCGCTGGTGATTCCATACATGGCTCCTCTGTTTATGGTATACGTTGCCGAGTACACCATCAACCAGGGCGTCTCACCAACGCTGCTCTTCCCACTCGAATCGTCGCCATTTAAAGAGTACCGCGAGTTTTATCCGTTTTATGGATTTCTGTACCAGCTCGGCGTCTTCATCTCGCGATCCTCTACGGCCTTTGTCCGCATCCACCACTTATACATTCCATCTCTGCTCCAAGTGGGCAACCTCATTCTGCTGACACTGCATGCCATGTTCTTCTTCATCCCCTCCGTCTACATTGTGTTCATCATCATCTTCTGGGAAGGCCTCCTCGGCGGCGCCGTCTACGTGAACTGTTTTGCCGAAATTATGGAAAAGGTACCCGCTGAAGAACGAGAGTTTAGCCTCAGCGCCACGACAGTGAGTGACAGCGGGGGAATATGCATCGCGGGGTTGATTAGCATCGTGATGGAGACGAGTCTTTGCGAGTATCAGGTCTCGCATGGGCGGGATTGGTGCAAGAGGATTGGTCCTGCGCATAGCTGAGGAATATAGAAGCAAATAGATGAAGACGCAGACATCAAATGGAGCGTGAATGGTTTAGTGGTAAAATTCTCCGTTGCCATCCGCAACGTCGGGGAGCCCTGGGTTCGATTCCCAGTTCACGCATTCGATTTTCTTTTTGCCGCTTTTGTAGATATAACGCATGAATAATGTACCTAGCACACAGGATATTCATCTTTTTTGAGTCACTGGAGGATTGGGAATACTTTCCACCTACGCCGAAAGCGGAGTCAACTCATCAAGCCTTCTTACTCCTCAAAAGGTGGCGTCGAAAGTTCTCGCACTTGATGCAATCCGCAGTCGCTCAGGACGTTTTCCTCTTTCGGGAAACAATTCCTAATTTGTCTATATAAGAGTACTGGAAACGATTGCATCTGTGGCCATTATTCTCAACAATTGTATAGGGCTACACAGGCCATGCCGGCATGAGTTGTGGGCTGGATTTTGATGCGCTTCGAATAGCTTCTTTACCTCTGTACCATGAAGAGATACGCGCGACAGACACCTGGCATGAGTAGCTCGTGGCATGTAAGTGGTCTTTAGATCTCACCACTTTTTGGTTGCAACCAACCAAGTCTCATTGAGACTACCAATGTTTATTAATTCTGACTCTAAATTCTGTTGTTTCTTCTGGAGTATCATTTGCATTTGCGTCTTCTTTTGCTCTCGATTGTATGCATCTCTCTGGGTTGAGATGGTTTTACAGCTCTTAGTGGGGTTTTGGCCTCTTGGCTTCAATTAACCAAGGTACTGCATGTTTGCAGTATGAAATGGGTATTTTCCTGCCAATCTTGCAATCACGACATCAAATCCAGACATGTAGATCGGCCGGGGGCGCTTAGATGGCTTCCGGCATGAAGGCACAGGCGCAGCGTGGCGACACGAGTAAACGTCCTGAAGCAGCCTGGCATTACGCGGCGCGCGAAACCCCGAAGGCCGGAAAAGGGAGCCTGAAGCGGCGATCGGAGGATGGAGGTGCATGATGCGGGATGCCGGATTTTGACTGCTGGCAGGCTAAAGCTGGATGTTAGTTTAATACGAGCAGTGAGTCTTGGCGTATGTGTTGATTGGTTGTAGGCGTATAAATCCTTTTACAAATGTTGAAGTGTTGTCTACTGACAATTGATTTTGGCCTTCAAGTTGGTAACACTGCGCCTTTGATTGATACATGGACCTCAAGCAGGGAATTAAAGCTGAAACAATAACCCAGCACCCCTTGCATCCGTCCAACTTTAAAACCCTTACTCATCAACAGCAGTCTATTGGAAAAACGTTGCAGGGAAAGCAATACACTACGTACCCAATAGCATCGCCCCTTGCCCTAGGCGCGTCCATCGCTCCAAAGTTAGCGACCAACCGCTGCAAATGCGCCGCTCCCCATCATCGCCAAGACGCCAAGCCCAGCGCCTGGTGCCCGCGAGAAGCCGCGCCAGCTGGGAGCAGCCAGCAGGCCAGAGACGCCAGGCGCTAGGATAAGGTGCCGAGCCCCTTTTCCAGCGTTTCTGTCTCTCTGTTTCTCTTGCGGGTGCTTCGCCACGCTTTCGTCGTCCAAACCTTGCGCTGTCTGTGCCGCGAGTCACTCACTGGCGTTCTTGTTACTGCTACTGTTCCTTTCTTCTCCCCCCCTGTTTTTTTGGGTTGTCACAGTCTCTTTTCCCATCCTTCTCTTCTTGTTAACCTGTTGTCCTCCTCTTTCCTTCGTTTCCCTTTTGCCGGTGGACACGCGGATCGTCGTTCGCTACCAGAAGCCCAGGCTCCACTCTCGGATCCCTCTTTTTCCCCTGCCTACCAACTAGGCACTCTCAACCTCTTTTTGCGCCGCGACACAGGCACAAAGAGCCTCTTTCAACGTCTCTCGACAGAGCATGCAGCGATAATGTTTGTCGGCGGCGTTCGATCCTCCAAGCTGTCGGCCCTGCTGGCCGGCACAATCATCTTCATCATCGTCTTTGCCGGCCTGGCCTGGAACCAGATGGACGCCATTGAGCTGCCCAACAGGTGCGTCGTACAGATCGCATCGTATTCCCTGCTCGCATATCGAGGGCTAACCGTATCTCGCCTGCAGAACGCAGCCAAACCAAGGCTCCGGCGCGCCCTCTGAGCCCTTGAAGCCCGACCAGCCGTCGTCGCCGTCGTCGCCCTCCGAGCCCGTCAAGCCCGTCACGGCCGACTCGACCCTGCGCGACGTGTGGTTCGAGGTGCACAAGCCCTCCATCAAGCCCGATGCGCGCTTCTACCAGCCCTTTGGCGCCTTCAAGTTTGACCAAAAGCACGAGGCTCACTTCCCGGAGCCGCTGGGCGAGGATCTCTGCATCATCGATCTCGACAACCGTCCCTTTGATGTCGCCGGCCAGGTCTTTGGACCGACCGTTATGAGCTGGGACAAGGATGCCGAAAAGGTCCACGGCCTGTCTGTCGGCGTGCTCAACCACTGGCTCTATGGTATGTTGCCTTTTGACTCTGTCGCGCGCTGCCGGGATTGCAGCAGCAGCAGCATTGACAAAACAGCCGGCTAACCTGATCATCTGCAGCCAAAATCCACGGCTACAAGTACTACTTTGTCGCCATCGAAAAGCCCGAGGACCGTCGCGCGTCATGGAAAAAGGCCCCCGTCATCTCCACCATCCTCAAGAAGCACAAGACGTGCCTGTACCTCGACTCCGACGCCATCTTCCAGAACCTCGATCTTCCCTTTGAGTGGCTCTTGAACTACTGGGACATTAGCCCCACCAACAACTCGCTCGCCCTTGCTGTTGACCCCGACCGCGAGTACAACAAGGACAAGTTTGGAAAGCTCATGCTCAACACTGGCTTCATCATCACGCAGAACAACCCCAAGACGTACGAGATTATGGACGCATGGGCGGGATGTCCCGAGGAGAACGGCAAGCATCCCGAATGTGTCGAGTTCCGCACCAACTCTCCCGGCCGACCTACTGACCAGGGCGGTTTCGGCACTTTTATCCGCTACGACTACCCCGACGACATCAAGCAGCTCGCCTGCACCGACGCCAACGGTTTCCCTAACAGCGATTCCGAGTGCGAGGGCCGCTTCATTCGCCACCTGTGGACTGGAAAGGACAGCTGGATCAAGATCTTTGTCGGCCAGCAGGTTCCCGGCCACTATCTCGAAATGTTCCACAAGGAATTCCTCGAGTCCAAGTCTGAATTTTACATTACCGAGAAGGATCTCATGGCCAAGGCTGCGGCTGAGGAACCCAAAGCCTCGACTGAGGAGCCCAAGGCCTCGACTGAGGAGAAGTCCAAGGACAAGTTATAAATGGTTTATACGCTATTGTACTAGAGACGGATCCTTAATCACGAAACGACACGACAGGACTGAGAAAATTACATCTATATCGGCATATAACAAAGCACCTATAATACGGCTAGCCATTTCCACTGGGTCATTTTTCGAATCGTGTTTCTTGGCTTTCTTTGCCAGTGTCTTTTTTTTTTCTTCTCTTTTCCATATACGATATGTAAGCATTAAAAGGCACAAAGAAAGAGGGCTTGTCTTTTTTTTTTTTTTTCATAACAGAGGGCGGAAGAAATGGTAAACTGTCGAAACGGGAAACGCGTGATTTGTATATATAATCAAGGAAGTTATCTTTTGGGATTTTTTTTTGTCAACATAAGCTTAAGAAAGCTCTTTTGGGGCGTGGATAAATAGCGAATGGTGATGTAGCTTGCATCATGGCTGTGCATGGGCGGCAGATGGGTAATGTGCTGCTGAATAAATATTTACAATGACTTTGGATTAATTCTTGCTGTCATGTGTGTAAAATGAGTGGTGCTTCGGTTAGATGGAGATTATGTGCTGCGAATCAGGATACATGTGAAAGGTTTCAATCGAAACATTGAGCTCGGTAAGCTTCTACGAGCTCTGAGCTACCCAAATAGGCGTCCTGTTTACAAGGCAGTGGTTCTATTTCTGGCTATGATATGAGGCTGTGCCGAGTTTTTTGTGTGTGAGTTGAAAAGGCAAAGTTGTCGGGTGAGCGTGCACATGACCACTTTCAAGCAGCACGAGATGATATTTCAAATAGAAAAAAAAAGCAATCTGGTGGACACATGGATGGGTAGACATTGAACATTATTGACTCTTTCGTTGCAAGATTCCAGTATCTGTTAGAGGAATAGTTCTAGGTATCAAAACCCCCTTTTATACATCCTCACAAGTGCCTCATCTCCAAAAGAAAGAAGACAAGACAGCAATGACAAGACATGGAAGGGAAAAAGAAAAAGGGGGGGATATGCTCACCGCCTTGAAGATATGGTCAATCTCTGTGTAATGCCTCCTGCGAGGACCCGCGATTCTGTGACACGGCGCGGTCGAGTTGGACAGGAGGCCGCGCATGAGGCTTATTGAAAAACATGCAGTAGGGTCGGTGCTACGAGTGTTGTTGATTTCACTCACGATGGCGTCTTTTTTGGAAAAATGGAAGGGGAGTTTGGGAATTGTTCAATCAAGATCTGTAGCTCTAAAAAAAAAAAAGCAGGTTTATTGTTGATGGATGAGTGTTTGCTAGTATCCCAGCATCCATATCCTGCCGCGAGCATGGCCCTTGTCCCCCCTTTGATGTCTATACGCACTGCCTCGTCCACACAGCACCTCCTTGAGCGCCCAGCACCGCATCAGCATCTTCTTCACACCCGTAGCTCTCCTCGTCGTGGCAGCCACAAGCCGACCGACCGTCTTGCCCCTCAAACCCAATCCCAACACCGTCGTCGTCTCGCTAGTAGCGGCCTCTGTCGGGCCCGACTTTGCATTCTCGTCTGCTGCCCTTTTCGCGGCCTCGAGGCTGCATTTCCCGCAGCATCTGTGCGTGTAGATTTCGTCGGGGGCGCGCTCGTACCGGCCGCTGCGGCAGGAGAGGCCGTGGTGGTGGATTCGCCAGCGGGAGAGGGAGCCGTTCCAGCAGGGGACGCGGTTGAGGCGGCGGTTGAAGGTGAGGAGGCAGGAGGAGCAGCGGTTCCAGGACTGGAAGTGGACGCACATTGCGTATTGCTGCTGCTCTGGAGTATGATGGTTGAGTTGTGGATAGTTGTAAGTGTAAGTCTGTGTTGTAAAATTGTTGATTCTCACAGCTCTTTTGTTCTACGATTTCCCCGGATCTGTGAGATGAACAAAGGATGCTCGCGAGTATATTCATTCCAGTAACGAAACTTCGAAAGTCTAGACCAGTGAGGCAGCCCCATCTATATTTGAAATCACTGCCAACAGAATACAACGCCCTTTTTCTTCTATTTTCTTCGTTACGTGTTACAAGATGAGTCTCGTTTGAGTGGGCTCCCCTAGGTGGACGTGACCGAACCTTGTCCCTTTGTGAAATCGTACTTTTGCATCATTGCTTTTTTTCGTGTTTGAACGCTCGGACGATAAATTTGGAGCTTTTTTAAAAAAAGTTTGCTCTTTCTTTTTGCCATGAGATTTGCCTTTTATAGATGGGCTTGTGAGACGCGGCGTGGTGCTGCCGCGGAGCCTAGGGCAGTCTCTTCTCTCTTGTGGCTTTTGTTTGAGAGAGGCGGAGTCCCGATGAATTGGAACTAGAGGAACGGCGTGGTGCTTTTTATAGCTGTTTTTGCCTGCCCCCTTTTGTGTAAATCGAGGAGAGGGCTGTGAATAGCTTCAAGCTTGCTGCATACACAATCACACACACCGTCACTGTCGTTTTCCTCTAATTTCTCCCAGCAATCACAGCTTCCATCTCTCTCTCCATCTTATCCGTTTGATGTACGTCCGCGCACCACACCCACAGCCCCCCCCTGACATTTCATCTCAGCATCATCTGTGGTAGCACCGGCGTTCTGTTACAACGCACCTGGGATGCGCATATACACGGCAACAGGTAACACGAGTGACAGCTCATCAAAGGCGGTGCATCTGGCGGTGAAGCTCTCCCGGCTCGGGAAACATGGGCACAGAACTCTGCCGCTGGTGTTGCTGGGAAAGGAGTCTCTCTCTCTCTCTCTCTTGATCCCCTCAGCACTCCAAGTCCGCCCACACAACCATGTTCTCCGGCGGATCAGCCATCTCCCTGAAGAACCTGGCTACCTCGGCATCATCGTACCGCATGCTGAAGTGCGTCAGGACAAACGTCGTCCGCGGCCACCTGCGGATGACGGGCTCCAGGTCGCTCCACAGCGTGTGCTTGGTCTTGGCGGCCTGCGCGCGGTGCTCCTCGTACAGGAAGCTGCACTCGTGGATGACGACGGGGATGCCCTCGCGCAGCCAGGCCGGCGCCTCGGCGAGCGTCGCGGCCGTCGTGTCGCCCATAAAGGCAAAGATGGGCGCCGTGTGAGGCGCCGTGAGCTGCTCGCCGGCCTTGCGCAGCGCCTGCAGCTCCGGGCCGGCCAGCGAGGCGAGCTCGGGCCTGAGGCGCTGCGTGGTCTTGCTGAAGACGTAGCCCAGGCAGGGCACCTGGTGGTGGCAGCGAAAGGCCGTGGCCGTGATGCCCGGGGCGCGTCGCAGCGGCACCACGTCGCCGGGCTGCAGCGCATGCGTCCGGTGCGTGCCCAGAAAGGCCGTGGCCGACGGCGACCTCCCCAGCGCCTCACTGCGCGCAGCCACGGCATCGTCCACGGCCAGGCCAACCGCCGCAGCATCCTCCACGCCAATCTCGCCGCCGCGGTTCAGCAGCGTCTTGGCCAGCACAAAGTCGTCCAGGGCGTCGCGCATCTCGGCCGGGCAAAAGACGTCGGGCGGGTCGTCGCGCTTGACAAAGGCCGGCGCCAGCAGCGTGTGGTCGCTGTGGCCGTGCGTCAGGAAGATGTGCTTGGGGCGCTGGCTGTTGACCACGAGCCCGGCGTCCAGCAGCAGGTTCAGCGACGGGATCACAAACGACGTGTGCCAGGCGGCGCGGGACCGGCCGGTGAGCACCAGCTGGCTGTGCGGCTTGGGGAACGTCCATTCGAGGGTGCTGGAGCGCGTGGGCTGCGGCAGGGGGGCGGCGAAGCGCGCTTTTGACGGGGCCATGGAGAGAGGCTGTGAGGGCTGGGCAGTGGTTGAGTTGTTTGGAGTTGGTTGATGTGGTGTTTTGAGGTGGTGGATCAACAGGTTTCGCCACTTTTTAGTATACTCCGCGTCACATTGCAGTCAAGACACAGACACAAAGTAGTTTGTTCGTAGACTTGACGTAGATTCAAGTTGAACAAGGCACTGGAATAGATTGGGTACTTCTTTTGGGGTGTTTCTATGCTCGGGTACTGTACAGAAGTTGCTGGATTGATGCCCTGTCTCAAGGCAGAGCGGGGTGATTATGGACCTTGACGAAATTCTCAATGTTATTTGACTAAATTCATTCTATAACGAGTGTACCAACGAAGAATCCTACAGATTTACCAGGTTTTTTTTTTTTTTTTTTTTTTTTTTTTTAAATCAAAACAGAGCAATGTGATTTCCAACCATTAGTGAGCGAATACATAGCGAAACAAGCAATTGTCAGTCTTTTCCAAATGCCACATAATCCGACCACGCTCCGAGTGCGTAGCGACATTTACATAGCAATGGCCCCTTGCAGGTTGGAAACATGACGAGAATATTGGTTCGTGTCAAGTGCTGTAGCGTATCCAACATGGTTGATCTCAGTTTGGACTTGCTGAATGATTGTGCATCGCTACAAGTATCGATTAGAACAAAAGTCTTTGCGAATTGGACCGTGACTTGATTCAACATGTTGGTGAGCTCATCGGTACATGGCCGCGTCTCGCCATTGTGTGAAGAATAGAGCCTTTCCACCACAAATGGGACGTTGGGAAGACCTTCGACTAGCTGCCTCAAAATGCTCGATAGCAGGACGTCAAACGCCTGTTTATTCCTCCAGTGGTCAGGGATATGGATGCTTGCGATTCCTAGCCTCGATTCATTCCGCGACTTTGAGTAAAGATGGTCGACCATTCTTGATATGGCGACTTCGCCAACTGCTCCCTCGCTTGGAAGGAACAAAATCTGGTTGCAGCCCCGAAACCATTTGTCAAAGTCTGCCTCATCATAAGTCGGTATGCCCCGGCATTCTGTATTATTTTCATTCTCCTTTTTTGGTATCATTTTTTCAGCGCCCGAGAGCCAGCTAAGAATGCTATTGCGGTAATCGCGAAGTTGGCTGACAATGCTAGCCTTGGGTTGCCGACAGATGATTCGTGCAGGTCCTAGAAAAGATGTAAGATATAAAGTTTCATGAGTAATGAGTGATGAAAGAAAAAGAAGAAAGAGAAGAAAAAGAAGAAAAAGAAGAAAAAGAAGAAAAAGAAGAAAAAGAAGAAAAAGAAGAAAAAGAAGAAAAAGAAGAAAAAGAAGAAAAAGAAGAAAAAGAAGAAAAAGAAGAAATCCTTTCCGGGAATTATCAGTTAAAAAGAAATTGACTAACCAGAGAGTACACCGGCATCTCTAATCTCGGCCCTGCGTCTAATGGCCCTAGGAGGACATGCTTTCAACATCTCATTGATGAAATCATATATCTCGGCCTGGGCTCTAATTTCGATGGTAGCAAGGGCTTTCAAAATCTCATTTGCATAAGTCGCCGCGGTTATAGCTGAGTAGTCTTGCCAGATCTTCCGAGTCGTCTCAGGTTCAGAGTCAGAGTCCAAGTACTGGCAGATGCCACGAATTACTAGACACGGGTGATCAATTAATCCTGCTGCCTCCTTGTCAAAGCACAAGACGTCCTTGTCACGTAAAAGGACATGTCGGGTCTCGTAATCCTTGATTTGTCCATCGCTAGAGGCAATTAGACCATAGTGGACTCTCGGGGGCTCTTCAATAAGTTGATCATCTTGACACAGCAGCTCTGTACGCGGGGGCAAGTACTTGTTGAGGCCAGGGAAGAAGACCTTGTCAGTACGTGAGTCGGGACGTTCGAATTTTCTGAGAAATCCAGGGAAATATTGAAGCCGCCGTTTAATGGTCCCTTGGAAAACTTCGCCCGCCCACTTGTACAAGTTGGCATCGTATGGTGAACTGGAGCAGTCCTTGTCCGTTGTATTGAGGCTCTCCACAGCCTTCTGCAAGAGCCAAGGAAGTGGATTCATAAACTTGATGTTTTGGAAGCTTCTCTTTTGGACCGTTTCGTCAAAATTGTATCGGAACACACTGCTCTGCCCTTTTTGTGTAGCGCCAACGACAACATCTCCCAGGCGGATGTCATGCTTCGAACTTGGCATGCCGCCACCAAGGCCGACTATGACACTAGCTTTGATGCTAGGGATCTTTTTTCAACACGCTCCGCATAACAGCTGCTGTAGTCATTGTGCCGCCTTGTCTGTAGAGCGGGGCGGCAATTACAATTTTGTTCCCTGCCATGGTTCCCAAGCTAAAGACGACGTCATCGTACTGATCTATACCTTCTGGGAGGGAATGCTCCTCGTCGAGAAAGGTCCTGGCGGCCAAGTATTGTGTCGATGTATCACAAATCCAAGCAATCGCGTACTGATCGAACCTCGAAATGTTCTCGGCACACGGAACTATGAAAAGGTATTGGCTTTGAATCATCAAGAAGGAGTCGATAAAACCATCAGCCCACGTGGGAAATTTTTGCCTCAAGGTATCTTCAGATATAGGAATGTGAAAGTCTGTGATTCCCTCTTTAATAAAGCCTAGAATGGCTTTTGGAGATTTGTGAATCACCAGAATAGAAAAGATCTTTCGTCTGGAAGCAAATGACTCTCCTGCTGGTTGCCTTTTGTCATGATACCGGCGAGCCGTCTGAACTTGATTGGTGCAGTAGTCAACTATCGTGTCTTCTTCGTCACAGTGTACAGTGGAAAATAAACCATCGAAGAAGTCATACAAGTCGTTTCGTGTGAAAGTGTCGGGCTCGCCAATTCTGCGCGGAACTTGACCTTCCATTCGAGCCAAAGCAGCCGACGCCTTGGGGGGTAGATCAAGGTTACCACATGCATGAATGTCCAAGGCCCTTCCCAAGAGATTGTCATATGTGAGGCGCATTTGCTGCACCTTGTCGAGCGAAATATCTTCGTCTTCAAACACTTGCCACAATGTAGCCTTCCGTTCCAATCCTGCGTCTCCGGTGATCAAATGGACTCCCATGGTAGTAGCTATGGATTCCTTTATGCTCTCGTCTCGATGAGAAAGAACGTCTGCTAAAATTTGCTCCGGAGAGTTTTGTCCCAAACCTTCAGCATCATCGTCATAGCTCTTTGATGTTGTTTGAGCAATGATCTTTTGCTTTTCTTTAGCTGATAATGCAGTCTTTGACATTTCCAGAGCGAGGAGGCCCAAAGTTTGCAAGTGATCAGCGATGTGGCTCAGCATCGCACCGTAATTTAGATTTTTCAATTCATGGCCATTTGCCAGCAAGTTTTCTTGCAACTTCTCAGCAGCTACCGCTACCTGCGGATCACTACAATCACTGCGCGAACCTCTCGTCTTTTTGGGTGCACAAATAAGACAAGTCTTTAGAGGTGGATGATGATTCGGTGCTGGACTTCCACCATTCGATACGAGCTCCATCTCCAGCAACAAGTCGCCGTGAGCAGCATTCATATGGGCGGCCCACTCAGATCGCGTGGCGTAACAAGGGAAATCCGAACACCCAGGCGACATACAGACAAATGGCAATAGATCCTGGTTCACATGGCGCCTGTATCGCGTCAATTGATATATGAAAGCGCGCGGCCCTTTGAACCGTAATAAGTTTGGAAATGAATTGAACTCACCTCCACCAAGAGACATTGGCAAAGTCAGATTTTGAGAACACCTCTCTGCAAATGGGGCAGCGCTTTGTAACTTCTTCGCCCTCAAATTTTGGAGGATCAGGAAAACACGCCACACTCTCATCGAATTGTACAAAGGTCGGAGTGCTGCCTTCTATTGACTGCCTGTTTTGCTGTGGCTCGGTGTTGGACGTGCAAAGAGAGCTTTGCTGCATTGGACTGGCGTGTGTTTTCCAGTAGAGCAATCTCGTGTATTGTGCCCCCATTGACCCTTGAAGGCGGTGCAGAAATGACCTCGAGATGCCTGGATAGAGATCGAAGAGAGCCCTTGCCGCTTTGGCTTTGAACCTCTCACGAAACACAATATACGTCATACTACCTTCCAGGTACATCTCAGCGCAAATTTGAAGCGCTGGCCTAGCCGCGGCTCTAATTTTCAAATTTAGTTCATGGAGTCTGTGTACTGTTCGGCCGATGTAGCTGAGCCTCAATCGTATGTCCTTTGCTTTCTCTTCAGGTGACGTCGCGTTCTCGTAGGCGAAAGTGACTGATAATTGGTCAGCTAACGTTCTAGGAGTAGAATGTACCATACAAACTTGAATGCAAATTCTTGTTGAGCATGTCTAATTCTCGCTCAAATGACAAGCGAAAATTTGGCTGGCGCTTCAGGCGCTGGCCAAGACCTTCGTAACCTTCATCGTAAACGCAGAGACTTCTCTTCCAGTGGTCAAAGCTTTCCTTATAACGTCGTATTTTAGAAAAATATTCCCCTTCTTCACATTTCCTCAGATCTATGATGGCTTCTGAAAAGTTCCAAGCGCAGAGAGCGACTATATCTGCAATTTCGACGTCATTTCTGTTGGGTTCAATGGTATTTGCCTCGGTGGTGGTAACTTCGTCTCTGGTAGTCGCCATTGTCTATCGCTCAGAGGAAAGGTGAACTGCTTGCATTCTTATGCATGTAGTCAACAGCAGGCGGTAGAGATTTATATGTGGATTGTCCAAAGCAGCCACTCGGGGTGAGCGATTTACCCGACACAAAGGGTGCCAAAGGTGACACAGCCAAGAAGACTTTGTTATTTGATTTGAACAAGGCCGGTAGTTTGAGTTACACAAAGGAAAAGAAATGATCCGGCATTCTTGTTGCCTGATCGACGCCTGATTACATCATAGCAAGTACTTTAAACCGGCTGTTCCTGTCTTGTTTTGAGGGAATGGCGTTCATCCCAACGAACAAACAGACTTCTTTGTCTCTTTGAGTCTTCAAGCAGATCTAGGATAAATAAGTCAGTAGCAGTAGCCTACAAAAAGTGCCCGATCAAAGGAAAGCACATATTGTCCCTGATTAGCTACAAGCTCAGCTCTGTACCTCGCTTCCCAAAGGTTATAGGGCATTTATATATGTGTGTGTGGCTAGAAAGAAAGTAGAGAATCATTGTCTTTTCATATTTCTTTCTTCCTTTTCTTTCCTTTTCTTTCCGTTTACAAACACGCGAATGTGGTGTGTGCAATATACAAAATTCTAAAAAGTGTGACATGCCAATTAAGATCAACAAGAATCAGGTACATATTTGGTTCAGAGTAATTTAAGCCAAAGCATGTACTACCTTGAATATGCCCAACTAAATGCGAACGATTGATCGTAGGTAAAACTATTCTTTGTTAGAGACATTGACGGAGAAAACGGGTCTATGCTCAAAGAGTACCCGACCTGATAAGGTCATTATGAGTGTCCTGAACCTATCCAACTAATCGTGCGCTCATCTGAGACCGAGAAGAGTCCATTTACGACTTTCATCCTCCGAACCTGAACTCGCCTCCTTCTAGCTTGCTTCCAGCAAGATAGACGCGTCATGGAGTGAAGCAGTACAAACCGACACAGAAATAAGCTTACCGAAATCTTTTCGATTGTCATAATGTCGCCGGAAGATACCCATTTGTGCGCGACTATCGAATGGAGAATACTCTCCAAGTTATTAAGATACGACCTCGCGCGCTACTGCAATTTCACCCACAATGCCCCTAAAAGCAGGACTATTCAAGATGCCCTGGCTGATCTTGACTCTGAATTACCTGAGATATTCAGGGCCATACAGCTTGAGACTTTATTAGAGACCAAAGACGAAGCTTTGGACGAGGTTGCTTACTACGGTAGTAGCAACGTTACCGACGGCGAGGATTCATTTTTGCAGCCGCCTACGAGGCGCCTGGCTATTACATATTCTCGACGCGTATATAATATCCTCAAAGAATTGTGCTCCTTTCTCGAAGAGCGAGTAAATCCAGCGCTGATTGTACCGAAGGATGGGGATGATAATGGTGCCTATCAAAAATTGCAGCTTTTCCTTGACCGCATTGAAAAAATGGATTCCTTTACTAAGAATCCTAACTCTACCCCGGATTTCGATTTTCAGTCAACACCATTTCTCTCCGTCGTTTCTAAAAGCAGAGCGATGAAGCCGACCTCTACCAGCGAAAGCCATACCAATGAAGTTCTCGAGCAGCAGATGCTTCAGGAGATTAAGGACTTGCGTGCCACTCTACTGAGATTGGATACATTATACAATGAAATTCGAGTACCAAGGAAAATCGATAAGATTTCAATTCATTATGGCCTACACAATGGCCTCAATGAAGGCATGACGGACTCGCTTTCTTCGTTCAACATGCTGAGGAAATATCAACAACGAACCGCCACTGCACGTCGCGTGATATGTGACAGCTTCAACAAGTGCTCACAAGAAGAAAAAGGCCGACAGCATGAAGCCTTCTTCCAGCTTCCCAGTTGGGAAATGATGTCTGACTATTACTCGCCACAAGAAGAACTCCCTCAGCTTTTCTTCATTAGGTGTTCAGAGACAAGAAGCGAGGGTAGCGACTGGTGTCACACGCGCATGTATCCTTTCCCGTGAGTCTCCCTACTGCCAGAGGTTTTCAAACTTCATATAATATTTTACTACTTGTGTGTGATGCATGAGCTAACTCAAAGCTCATAGGACGGATGGTACGAATCAATGTAGAAGGCGGCCGCTCTGTCTGGCAATGCGCTCTGCCACTTCTAGCAAATCAGATTTGGACGTCTACGCCCCGGCGCATCCTGAGAGCAATGGGTCTGACAATGTTACCATACATACCCCAATTCAGCTACGTCACTCTAGAAGATATGACAAAAGCATCCCTGGTGGTGGTTCAAGTCTCAGGGATTTAGCCAAGATAGGCTATTTCTTTTGGACAGAGAACATGGATTTCGCGGAACGAACCGGCGGTGAAGATAAAATACTGGACATTGGCCAACGTACGGCTCTTGCCAAGAGGCTCGTTGTTTCCCTGATGCTATCTGTTCACTCTGACCGTACCATTGACGTTTGGTGCCCAAAATACATTCGATTCTTACACCCTAGGGACACGGAGTTGACTCCAATGATACCAGTATATGAAAGCCGGGGAAGCCAAATCTCGTGGGGCTCCAAACTGCCCAAGATTCTGGATCAACTACGCTTAGAGGATGGAGATTATGATCAAACACTTCCCATCTCATTTTATGATTTAGCAAAATCGTTGGTACTTATCGCAGACGGGTCGCTGCTTGAACGCCATGAAATCCGGAATGCATCAAAATACAACGAATCATGTGTCGAGCTTCGAAAGCTGATTAGAGCGCGTATCCAAGGAATTCAAAACACATCGCGCGAAAACAATGCCCCCGATATTTTACCTTTTTTGAACGCTGCCAACAACTGCTTATACTTCCACGAGCGATACCCGACCTACCTTGACGAAGAACCGTCTGGTGATGAGAAAGAAGCTGCGTTCAGATTTGTATTTGAACAAGTTCTCACTGTGGTAGACGAGAGGCTGAGATTGGAGAATCAAGTTCAACCGAGTCCTGTCATTCCAACAGTTGCGCTATTCGATGGAACGACTTGTCTGACAGTGTCAGTTATCTCTGAGAGCCGTTTCTGATAAAGACTAGCTGCGAATACTAATAACCGCGAGAATAATAGTAAAAATTTTGAGACGGAAAGATTTATGGCTTTTCTCGAAAGTTTCCCCGAATCATACTCACGACTTCCTCCAAGCCATGCTGATATCGCCACTAGGCGAGTCCGTATTGCACTCATTGATACTGGAGTGGACTTTGCGCATCCTGGAATCATGAATGCGAAATGTAAAGGGCGCATGAAAGAAGACTGGTGTCTCCGCTTTTCTGATGGCAAAGTTGACAAGGATATAATGGACGAAGTCGATTCTCTACACGGGTCGAATTGCGCTTCTCTCATTCATAAAGCGGCTCCAGAGGCTGATATTTATGTAGCCAAGGTGTTCAAAGGCACTACGCTTGAAATAAAAGAAATTGCTCAGATAAGCAAGGTGAGATATTGTGTACGGAATAACTGCAAAGCCGTACAGAGCCAATGCGCAAGAGAGAGACTGGGAGGGGACAGACCCAAAGTTGAAGGGCACCAATTCAAGATGATTTAACTAACATGTATGTTGACCTAGGCAATCGATTATGCGATGAAAGAGTGGAATGTGGACATCATCTCGATGTCCTTTGGCTTAACGCCACCTGACGCGCGCCAAGACGGAAATACGCAGTTGGAAGAATCAGATTTGAAGGAGTATGAAGAAATCATCAACGGCATTATTAAATCGATTAACAACGCAATCACGTCATCTCGGCTCGTATTTGCCGCCGTCTCGAACGATGGCAAGAATAGACGTCGTACGTTTCCAACCAACTATCCTTCGGTTTTTGGCGTTTATGCCTCGGACGGACTGGGCGCTGTTTCTAGGATGAATCCATCCTCACAAGAAGACGATATTAATATTATGACACTGGGTATTGATGTGAAGGTGTTTGAAAGGAGGCAGGTGGACAAAAATGGTGTCTCTTCGTTTATTCGTGAGCCAAAGCATAGGTCTGGAACATCTTTTGCGACAGCGATTGCGGCCGGTATAGCAGGCACGGTCTTGGATATAGCAGACCGCGGGAAAGAGATGGAAGAACAGACCAGAAAAAGGCTCAGAAACTATGGGGGCATGAGGAGGGTATTTACAGAGCTATTGCCGCGCGACGAAGATAACCATTGCTACTTGACGCCGTGGCATCTTTTGGGTAGGAGTTGGGAAGCAGATCAGTCCAAACAGAGACTTCAAGTGGAAAAAGTCAATAGGATACTCAAGTACTATGTTGAGGTCTAAAGTGTTAGATACAAAGATGTGCTGGGAGGAATCATATGTAGCGTGGCATTCTTCAAACGTTCCTTGCATCTCTTAGACCAATCGTGACATTCAAAGTTATCGCCGTATAATCCAAGTGATAGGATCAGTCTCTCCAAACAAGGTCTCATCCACAAATGTCTGGTCTTCTGCGCTGTCCACCTCGTCATCAGCATATCGGATACCATCCATAACACTGCCATCCCGGTGACTTCCATAGGAGAGCGTACAGCCCGCGGTGCGCTCCTTTTCATGCCACTTTCCATGCCTGTCCCACCAGATTTTCTTCACTCGGAAACCAAGGATAAATGGCGACGAGCTACTGAAGCCGCATGAGATAGTCGACCCATGCGAGTAGCTTCCCTCCAAGCCAATCGAGGTAGATGAAAGTGGCTCGGGCACTGCAAGCTCGCTGCTAATGGTCCCTTGCTGATGTTGGACTTTGGAGAGTCTGGCTCCCTCCGTCCAAATTAGGCCTGTAATGAGGTATATACGCTTCTTGTGCCTAAGCTGGTCGACAAAAGAGGACACCGTTGGAGATTCAAGAGTTTGCTTTTGAATTCTTCGCTCGGAGTGAAGTATCGCATAATTAGCTTGTCCACTGTCAAGGTTTCGTTCCCGGTGCGTTTACCAAAGAATTTCGCGCCCAAAATGTCTTCATTGAGAATTCTAGCCCATATGCTGCTCTTTCCGTGATGCAGATCCTCCAGATGGCGTGTGAAGCCCGCCTTTTCAAGCGGGCCATCAGCAGGGACTAATGATGACTCTGATACTTGGATTTCATCACCGCGATTGATCGGGTTCAGCACTCCCTGGATACCGAGATCTCCAAGGACGGAGCCCAGCTGTAGCTGGCCAAGGGGTGGGGGTGGAATATTAAAATCAGGACAGAGTATGAAGGTTGGTATAGGACTGTATGATCCGGCCATGCTGAAGGTAAAGTCTTGACACAGTATGGAAGCTTCAGAATTAAATAGTTTCTATTCCATGCGGTCTGAACGATCGAAAATAAAGAAAAAAGGGTGAAACAAACCGGGAATAGCGATGATAGTAAATACATATAGTCAGAAATCTGTAACACCACGTATTAGCTGGCATACGTGACACTGTAGCGGGTACTTGGATGCAAACAAACGAGTACGAAGAATGCCTTCCGTTTGGATGGATGGTGCAGCCAAATAGAAGGTGTGGTAGTGCTTCTCGGCGCGTTATCGCATGCATCCTCCCTCTCTACGCGCCATGCGTCCTTTGTACGAGGCGAGAGAGGGGTCTTTTGTGTACAAGTCACAGTGTAACTCATACATTGATCAATAGAACGCATTATACAGCCTTCCGATATTCACCGAAACTGCTGTTAAGCGCTGATGTGTTTGATACATACAATCTAAACCCGTACTCAAAGTGTCGAGTCGCCTGAAATCTAAGCAGTGAAGCAGAATTGTGACTTGCTGCAGGTAGGGAGGGCGCTGATATATACCGCGTAGACAATCTGACCCTACAATAACAGCTAGGTGCACATTTGTTTGTATCCTTTTACGCAAAGATTTATACGTACAAATTTTCTTCCCTGGCTTGGTGCTGAATATACATTTTCTCCCCTACAAGCATATCATCTCTCAATTATCATGAAAAATTCCAAAATGTCGAAAGTTGAAGGCAAAAATACAAAGAAGGAATTCAAGTTCAACGAGCAATGTTTTATTATTACCAAACGTTCACAAGTTTATGTCCAACTCCCGGGGAGCCATGTATACAAGCACAATGGATCAGTGGATTGATGTATTAGCTACTTGAAGAACAACGATGCTTCTTACAGCTTTGTATTTGCAGATTGCATATTAAGTATATACACTCATCAAAAATAACACAGAAATGTCTTCTCCTAAAAGAACAGCCTAATAAGAGGTATCCCTTTCTCTCCCCTTCTCCCTTTTTGTCCCCGCGCGCGTATGTGCTAGCTGAGCTTTTACTGAACATTCAGGTCAAGATTTGGTGTTGGGTTAAAAGAAGAGGCATGTCTGTTTTCAGACTAGATTCCAGATACAGAAGGGCATATAGATACGTGTAGTCCTGGAACGAGAGTGTGCGCTCCTCGGGGCTTCGTGTGACCCCTAATAAAGAATGCGCATTGAATCGCCTCCAAGTGACGGCAAAGTCGAATTGATATGAAAGTCAAGGCCTAACATCTTCTTCACTTAATCCTAAACCTAATTTTCTTCTTGCTTACACATCCCATGCCTCTTTCGTAATCCTTCGTCTACCAACGCTACGGCCCGGCTCTTATGCATGTCCGGTAGCCGTTAGCTATGACTCGAGCTTTTACGTCTCGGGGAAAAATAAAGTAATCGAGAAATCGGCTTTCCCACTTGCGCAATGCTCTAAGCTCAATAAATGTCTAGCACGCTATAGGATTTACCAAACTATTCTCAGTGATTTCTAAGCTCCACTTGATCGCATATGAGTTCAGATTAAGTTTCAGTGTTAGTATCAAACTGACTCGGCCGTCGCTTTTCTTCTCGGCTGCCTCGCTTCCAGCTGAATGGCCGACGATTACTGAACCTCGGCCAACATATCGCTGAAGCCAAGAAGCACGCTATATATATCAGGAACAAGTTTGATGGTATCATTGAACAAATGCGTCAATGCAGTTTCTAGACTTGGAGTCCTTGTCCCAGAGGGCAAGAATACGCGGCTGATGGGAATTGTCCGCCGACAGGGCTGATAGGGATTTGAAGAATAGAGATGCTCAACCCCGGTTATGGTATCATAGCGCGCCGAATAATCTACGGCAGTCGTATGACTTGAGAGATAAACACATGACTTTGATGCTCCAAATCGTGACACGACTTTATACGAAGCAAAAATAGAAGTGATATGCATCCCTCTCGAAAACGGGGCTGCCTGGTTAAACATCTTTCCCATCTCCACGAGCACGTTTACCGATTTTTAGATCCCTATCAATCCTAGCCCACCAACGTATACCTAATCATAAAAAGCTCAGAACCCGGGCAATATTGTGGCGACGCCTTGTTTTCTTATCGAGTCGCCAAGCCATGTATCGCTCGCACTCGGATCGGCCGTTTTTTTGTTTCCTCCCTTGAGGCCAAATTAATATTCTTTGCATAGTCCGGTGCCCAAGCTTGCGGATTTTGCAACTCCATTTGGAATCTAGCCGTTACGTTATCACAAAGATGGTCCCTCATAGAATCCTGCAAGCAGAAAAATGAAGTCACCAGCTAATCAGATACCTTTCTTGATGTCTAAGCAGCATTGAAAATATTGAATAGTAATCATCAATCTCCAAAGCGGCATAGCGCTACCCATTCGCGCAATGCCATTCGCTAGAATCTTTCTTTTCTGCTTCCTACCTCGGCAATATTCGTGTTCAGTAATCGTAAAATGTCCACTTTTTCGGACCCGGGCCGCCGCCGTTGATCTTGGGCTTTGCCCCATTCAGCCGGCGTTTATTGTGCCACAGTATATGATTAGCAATGAAGGGATGAAGGAAGCTGAGCAGGGCGAGTGCGGTTTCTTTTATAGAGGGTGTGTCCCATCTCCTGAGTGAAGCCTTGATTTAATGGTACGGACCACTGGCATCCTTGCTACTGAAAGATCGTCGCTCAACCCGCTCGCCGAAAAACATCAATAACACAGCACAACAAGGGTCATTGGGGAAAAAAGCAAAGAAACAGAAGAGCAAAGAAAAGGAGAAGAGGAGGACACCAATCTAGGCTCTACGACTTTCTTGGCGAATCATCCAGGGGGCTGGAGAAAAGGACAAGTCCTCCGGCAGCTAGCTCAGCTCACTCGGTATCCTCAACGACACCAATCGCCTCTGTGGGAAACAAAAAATAGGAGACATGGCCTCTCCAGAAGGAGTCCTGAATGGCTCCTCCTCAGATATCCAAGCAGACGACAAAACGTTGGTAGTGAAGCCGGAAGACCAGTTTGTCAACAGCGACAACAACAGCAACAGCGATGCCGAGAAGGGCCAGGTTTCGCAAGAAGTCCTCGACTGGGACAATGACCCTCATAATCCATACAACTGGCCTGCGTGGAAGAAAGGCATGATGGTGTTTACTATTTCTACAATGGGTCTCACAATGTGAGTATTACTGTGCTTGCTACTTTCAAGAAGCGATACTAACACAGCAAACGCACAGATCAATAGCCACATCCATCTCCAGTTCGTCTGTCGGCCTTTTGCAACAGGAATTTGGTGTAAGCAGAACCGTCGCCCTGCTGCCCCTTACTCTCTACGTCGTCGCCCTTGGCCTTGGCCCAGTAATTGGAGGCCCCCTTTCCGAAACGATTGGCCGATATCCTGTCATCATGGGTGGCATGCTTCTCGGCTCCTTCTTCACCATTGGAGCCGGCTTCGTCCACAACTTTGGCGCCTTGTGTTTCTTCCGATTTCTCACTGGGTTCTTGTGGGCTCCTGTGTTGGCCAATGCTCCTGGATCGCTTTCAGAGACGTTTATGCCAAAGACAAGAGGGCCCGTCAGTGCTCTTTTTATTTTAACTCCCTTCTTGGGCCCTGGCCTGGGGTAAGTTTCTTCATCTCTTTGTACATCTGATATTGGATTGTATCCAAGGGTCTGACTCTTTCCTATAGACCCGTCATCGGCTCTTTCGTTTCTGTCGACAAGGGCTGGCGCTGGACCGAATGGACAATGCTCTTCTTCGCCGCCTTCACCATCACACTAGGTTGCTTCATTGGAGAGACTTTCCACCCAATCCTCAAGCGCCGTCTGGCTAAGAAGCGTGGCCTTGAGGTCCCCCCACTTCCTCCTGTGAGCGAGCGTATCAAGACTTTCGCCGTTGTGGCCGCTGTTAGACCACTTCTCATGCTCTTTACTGAGCCCATCGTTTCGTTCATCTGCCTCTACGTCGCCGTCAATTTTGGCACCCTTTTCAGCTTCTTTGGCGGCGTTCCATACTCGTTTGGTCTGGTATATGATTTTGATATCGAGCAGTCCGGCTTGGTCTTCCTTGCTATTGTCATCGGCTGCTTCCTCGGCCTTGCGACCATCATGGCCTGCGAGATATTCTTCTATCGAAAGCAGGCCGTCAATTACCCTCCTCACAAGATTCCTCCCGAGCACCGACTTTATCCCGCCATGTTGGGCTGCTTTGGACTGCCCATCGGTCTCTTCTGGTTCGCTTGGACGGCGCGAAAGGACATCTCCTGGGCAAGCCCTGCGGTAGCCATCATTCCTTTTGCTTGGGGCAACTTGTGCGTCTTTGTCAGCACTATCCAGTACATTTCCGATACGTATACCGGCAACGTCGTTGCGAGTGCTTCCAGTGCCAACAGCTTGGCACGATATGGCTTCGCCGGCGTGTTTCCCCTTTTCACTATCCAAAGTAAGTAAATGTCACAGTCGTGAGTCCCTTGGCGAAAAGAGTGCTAACAGTTTATCTAGTGTACGAAACTCTTGGGATTCACTGGGCTACCAGCTTGCTGGGATTCATTGCCCTAGCGCTAATTCCCATTCCCTTTGTTCTTTACCGATTCGGTCCGACTATCCGGGCGAAAAGCAAGTTTGAGACTCACAAGTACGAGTGAAGTAATGGGCACCGACGAAGACGAAGATAGAATCTCTACTAATGGCCCTTTTTCTTCCTTCTACCCTTATTTCTCTTTGAGTAATCATTGCATTTTGACGAATAATTAGCATCTGAAATAGTATTTGACTTATAAGATCTATGGTAATATAGCACGCATGAATAGCATTTAGATCATCATGAGTAGAATAATAGACTAGGGCAAAAAATTGTACATAGTAGGCCCCTAACATTTTTATAATGTTAAATCTCTTCGCGTAACAACTTGACTTACTCTTTCTATCTTGGTTAATTTGCCCTCAGTCTACATCAATAAGCTGCTCCGGCAGGATCCGAAAATTCTCATCTATATAATACCACTTATCATACTTTGCAGGCCTCATCGCGGCGGGTTCAATCTTGGATTTCTTCGGTAGGTCAAACTCGTCGGTTGCATCTTTGCTCGAGATATAGCTGCTGCAAATGCTTGGCTGCGAAGTCTGCGAAATGCTTATCTTCCCGGGGTCTTCTTTGCCGCTGATGAGGTCTTTCCAGAAACCGTGGCTCTCGCCAACAATGTCGCGTGCCGTGTTAGAATCTTGGTATTTGTTTCCGAATATGGTGTTGAGGGTGCCACTGCGAAAAAGTTTGTAGTACTATATTTTTTCGAATCAACGTGCTTGCCCCGTTTGGTAGAGTGAAGGTTTGTCTTCGGAACGGCTACTTACGACGAACCAGTCATAAAAGGTTTGCTTGAGGCCAGGTCGATATTTTTCGAGATCGTCGATGGCTAAATGCAATCAGTTCTTGGTACTAGCCAGTTTTTAAAGGAGCGCCTTACTATCAACCACTTGTGACAGAGGATCATTAACGTTGATGCCAATTATTTTCCAGTCCGTAGTTTCGTCCTGCGAGAGCGATAAGCCCATGCCTCGAATTGCAGATGAGATCAGAATTCATACATCAATCATGGCTATCCCACCCAGGATCTTGACCGTTCTGATTTGGCCGACATATCCGGGACTTAAAAGATTTTCATTAGCTGATCGGTCCTTCGCTCAAGTGTCTTCTGTACTGACTCAATTGCGCTTATATCCACCACATCCATCGGATCATTATCGCCAGGGAACCCAGTAAAATTGTGCTTGATGTTAGAGTTCTCCCAGGTCTGAGGAAGTGAGCCGTAAAGGAAAGGGTAGGATCTATGTGGCCAAATACTGGCTACATATCGAGGAACATCATCTTTGTCATCGTGATAGATGGGGTCTATGAGATGCCACATGTGAGCACATCGTATGTTGACTAGCAACATACACAGATAACAACTTGGTAGGCATTACTCACTCAAAGGCTTGTTGCGCTTTGTCTCAATCTTGGCATCTGTCCATCGCGGGATCTCCACGTAGAAACTGACGATGTTGTTATTCTTCTCGTCAGGATAGAGAGGAACGTCGTGCCAGAAGGAAATCGGGTTGCCGTCCTGCTCAAGCCAAACGCGCCAGTCCTGCTTGCCATTAGTCGATTTATTTCCTGCCTTTGATCGTCGTGAATTGGCAATTTCGACAACTGACCACTGTATTTCGGGCTCCGACTTCTCTGAGTGAAAGCGACTTTGGGTCAAACGCTTTCTTTGTCGCTTTACTATCGTCGCATTTGGCAGCCGTGAATGCAGAGAAGACAGGCAAAATCGAGAGATAGTATATTGAGCGCATGATTAACGTCAAAATACGGTGAAAAAAAGACTCGAGCAGATTCGTAGACTTTTCGCTTCACACGCTCCGCACAAGGTTACTGGGCTTGTCATTGTTTATATATACGCACGCTGATGGCCAAGAAAATCTTGTGGACCCCTTGCACGACACAGATCATACCGTAACATTCCTATCCGTAAACGAGATGTTTACCTGCGAAGATGAAACCGCACATCGCTCTTCCTTGTAGCACAGATGCACGGCATCACCAGCTCAGGAAACTTAAGCGAATGGATCGTCAAGTCTTGGCTACCATCTCAAATCTTGGCTACCATTCCAAATCTTTTAGACAAAGGGATTTTGAATCGCTTATTAATAGAGAGCACGACCATTCATGTCGAATATCGATCCCACGTGGATGCGGTGAATAGATGTGAAGTGCGATAACAGCCAGACACTTCTTCCTAATTGAGAAGACTTACGCGCAAACCACCCGCGTTGTGTGAGCTTTATTTTAAGCATATGTGCTGGAATTGCCTTAATTAAGCGTCCAATAACATTGGAGAGTCAGATAATACTAGCTTCGGTAACCAAAAGGGCAATCTGCAGAGTTTTTACGCGGGGTAGAAATGCCAAGATGTGAAGACATGTTTAGGCGCCATTTGCATACAGTCACTTTCACGGCCGAGAGGGCACTGTTTAGAGGGCACAGTTGAGAGAATCAAGACCTCGTGGGCAAAAGAGTGGGAAAACAGAACGAAAAGAAAAGAAGAAAAGGGAAAGCCACATGTACTCGTCATCTTTCGAATCGGGAGCCACAAAAGAGTAGAGAGCCATGCGCGTCCAAAGCGATACACCAGTTAGTCGTACAATGGTAAAAGAGAGCAACACCCTTCGACAGAAGTATTTGTAAACGAACAATTGCATTTCAAAGGTTTGCTTCTACTGCTATCGGCAGCATAAGGTATACCTTCTAATAGGATACGTAGTTTCGCCTTCGATCTAGAAGATGCAAAGAGATGAGCGAGCAGACTAGAACATACGTCCGGATAAGCACTTAAGAGAAGCCGCCAATATGTTGACTCAAGAACAAGCCACATGGAACGGATGTTCGCCGGATCTAGCTATTTGTGATGATGCTAGTGTCGGCCTGTGCACGATAATATGACGGAGATGATCGGCCAGTCTCCAATTCTTATGGTTCCTCCGTATGTAGGAACCCTCCACGCTAACTATTCATCTCCGGAGGCTGATCACTCATTCACCATTAGTATTGTAAATGGGTAAGTTAATACAATCCTAAATGATTGTTATAAACATTGAGAAAAAAATCACAATGTAAGCAATCGCGATCCTACATCCAAAGACCCTCTCTCTAACACTTCCCGCAGACAGCATTCCCGACAACCGATTTCTGTTCAGCCAAGATGCACATGTAAATAAAACGCGGGGAAGCATGAGGGGCGAGTGGAGGACAAATGTTGGAGAAGGCGCGCGCGCCAAGCATGGAGTCTATGGGATGAGGACTCGGAGATCGTCAGCGTGGCGTGTATAAGTCTGGTTCAGCTTTGAGCTAATAGAAAATAACAATGAGGGGAAGGATAGCGCTCCTATTAGATCTCCGCAACCAAACAGAAGAGGACTTGAGCGGAATAAGACGGGATCCCAATGTCGGTTCTAGTGAAATCCCGTTTCCAAAATCTTTTTCCATAATAGGTAACTGGTCGCGATATCCTAGGTGATAGCAGCGAGATATCTCGGGCGGTTGTTGTGACAATAGAGACATGGGCCAATAACGAGAAGAGGGTCGGAAGAAGTCGTACATACGAAGAACAATAGGAAAGCAAAGAATCCGTACTTTATTCAGCCGCGCTGGTTCGTCAGTTTCTGGAGATAATCGACATGTCACGATGGTATTCCAGAAATTGTAAAAGTAGTAGCAGTATTTTCATAACATCATTCATCATTGTAGCTAGATAGTCCAGTTGCTATCATCTTTTTACCCATGCCAAGTAGTTTTGTAAGAACCAGCTTCAAATCCATCTACACCTTGTGCTCAATCTGCTGCACGTTGCCAAACTCTTCCTCGGCAGCCCTCTGCTTCTCATCAACAACCATGTCCTTCTCATCAGCATCCTTGTTACCATACAGACCAATCTTGTACCACGGAAGGTCAAACAGGCGGTCCATGCTCTCAAGAGAGCGACCACCGGTTTCGGGGACAGAGAACCACACCCAAGCGCCGCCTAATACAGTAACAGCCGCGAAACACCAGAAAGTGCCCTTGGGCGTGATTCCTCCTTCCGAGGTGTTAAGCAGCATGACCGGCAAGGCGCGCGAATTGCCATACTGGTTGGCAAAGTGAAGCGTCATAGCCCACGACGTAGCAAGGGCACGAACACGGAGGGGGTACAACTCAGCCGTGAGCAGGTACTGCATGGAATTCCAACCAAGCGCCCAACCGACACCTGAAAGGTATATCATGGCAACTGCGCCTCGGCTGGGTCCCTTCATAGATTCAGGCAGGACGAAGTCGCTGGAAGTTCCGAGCTGAGGCACGGCAGTAAGGAAAGCAGCAACATAGATCATGGAGATGCTCTGAAGCGTAATACCGCATAGCAATGCACGCTTGCGGCCGATGACATCGACGAGGAAGAGAGCGCAAATCATTGCCGCCACAAATTTGACGATGCCGAAGACGCCGGTAACAAGAAGCGACTCACTGTTTCCGGTAATGCCCAGGATCTTGAACAGATCCGGCGCATACAAGGTGATGGATCCAGCGCCAGACCACTGGCCCAGAAGCTGAACCATGGATGACAAATACACTCGGTACAGGTTGCTCCTGTTGAGAAGTAGCTCCTTGACTTTTCCAAACCAGCCGACACCCTGGCTAGCTTCCAGCTCGTGGTCAAGGCCAATCTGAATCAGGGCTATTTCGCGATTGACATACTCGCTGTCAGGAGACTGCTGGCGCAAGCGAGCAAAGCTGTAGACAGCCTGGTCGATTTTGCCCTCTTTGACGAGAAATCGTGGTGATTCGAACTGGAAAAAGGAAAGAATAAAAATGATTCCACTCATCATGATGTGTAAACTGGTGGGGACAAGCCATTGGTTCGGGCTGCCATTGGTGATGTGAAGCTGAGCTCCATAGTTGGCAAAATAAGCGAGCAATATACCAAGATAGACGGCACCGGTAAAGAAGCATGTGCAGAGGCCACGAATCGACGCAGGTGCGATTTCAGCAATGTAAATGGGACTGCAGAGTGATATCGTGTTAGTACAATGCGCAAGTAAAGAAGATAGCATCAGTAGCAGCACAAGTGGGGTGAATGTTACTCACCCTACGACCGGCGTCTGTCCCACACCCAGGCCGGCGATAAATCTGCCGGCATAGATGGCGCCCAAGTTGCCCTTCACTCCGCCAGCCATAAAAATAGCAATGCCAACAGCCCAGATGAGGCACAGCACGCGCGTGGCATTCAACCGGCCAATACGATCACAAATCAGGAAGGCACTATAGCAAAATGCAAGTGGTCATTCGTTAGCCGTTGATCGTGGCAGCGATAGTGGAGAGAGAGAGGGCTGGACCATGCATGAAAGAGGCGGTGACGTGACTTACAACAACGCTCCTGCGACGGACCCAATCTGGACCATGGCAGAGACATTGGCCTTGATGTTGGCCTGGTCAACCTTGTCATACGAGGCGTAATGAATGGATTCCTTGAAGTTGGCCGAGTTGAAGGCGCCAGAGATGAGTCCTTCATCGATACCTCGCGCAGCACCGAGCAGGCCAAAAGCCAGGACGGCAAACCAGAGGCGCCAGTTCAGAGCTCCCTCTGGCTCTCCCAAGTCTTTCAACTTGAAGATGTTGACGGGTTTCTTCGCCCCGACACCCATGACGGCGGTCTTGATGCAAGTAATTTAAAAAGAAGCTGACACCGCTGTAAAGACGAGGGAGGTAAGCATCTGGCAGCTGCAAAGGCCAAAGAGTATACCTGAGATGCGCACGAGTAGAGAGGGCTTGGCCCGGAATCTCACAGCGGAGAAGGAGCATCCTCTTATATATTCGCCCACATTCACATCCTTCGCAGAAAGCCTTAGCCCAAGAGAAGCCCCAGATGGTCACACGAAGAGCCTTTTCTCAGCCAAAGGTGTCCACACTTGCAAGATGTCGGAGTGTCTCGGACGGCTGTGTTGCCAGACCCGATTTAGCCTCCAATAGTTCAAGACCACTCAGCGCCTGCAGCCAAGCCTCGAGTTACATCCAACTCGTGGCCGAATGCTGGCCGATGCCTCGAACAGCGCACCGCCGTGTCAATCCCTGGCGTAGAGACCAGTTTTGCTGGTCCAGCCCCGCATATCGTCCTTCTCAAACCGTTCATTCTTGCGCATCGCTTGCTAGCCGCCAGCGTGTGCTCCACAGCAGCTCCACGGCCATCGTATGCTGTTCATGCCGGATTCCCAGCAGCCTGGCCTGTCTTACATAGGACGAAGTGCCCAATAGGTGCCTAGCTGTGTGGCTTGTTGGTTGTAGATCCGTCTTGACTAGCAAAACTAGTCAGCAGGTTGGCGGCCCGCCAAGAGTCTAAATCTAATTAATCCGGGGCTTTAAATAGTGAGGGGAAGCCACGAGTTGGAGAGCGCGGGGAATCGGACAACCTCCGTTGTGTGTTCGGTGAAGGCATGTTTCTTGACTTATAATCCATATCCGTGTTATCTTCTAGCCGATTACCGCTATCCTGGCTGACGTGGAAACGCTGGAAACGCAAGAAACGCAAGTATGTAGCACTCACGTATTATGCGACTGGGGTGAACCTGGCCCGGCGCAACCCCAGATCTTTGGTTACATCAGACCATGTCACATTGACTGGTTTCGGATTCGGACATATCATCATCAATGGCGTGGCGGATAGAGAAACCAAATGCCGCTCCTCCTCGTTGAAAAAGCCGGTTAATTATCGTATAAGTAATGTGAAAAGAGTGGCTCCTAGTTCCTACATCGCTGTTTTGCTCAAAGATGTGGTGTTCTCATTTGTCGCTAAGCTTATCGCCTAAAGCGTTTCACAAAACATTACTCATGACCAGGGGCAGCGAGCTGGTCATGGTCCGGAAAAGTGTCCAGTGGTAGGCTGTTTTTTTTTTCAGTCCTGTGATGGTGGCTATTTATTCATGTGGCTGGGTGCTTTTATCTAGACTGCTGCGAATATCCCTTCTATTAGCATTCGCCAGCAGTCTTGTGGCGGTTGGTGAGCACCAATACGTCGGCTTGGCCGACCGAATGACCACACAGCACATAGTAAGCCTGCCAGTTCTAGGCATTAAAGGTGTGTAGCAGCAGCTGTGCCAAAAATTGTCCGCTCAGATCCAGTACTGGCCCCAAAGCATATACTCCTCCTTGGTGCCTCGGAATTTGAACTTGACTTCTGTGACATCTTGAAAGCCCTCTTTTTCCTTCGGCTCTTTGAATCGTGATTGAAATCCGGTAAAGGCCAGTTTAGGAAGACTCTGTCGAGCTTCTGGGTTCAATACGGCGTTGTTCGCTCGGACAGCGTCATTATGCTCACACACTATGACAGGCGTTGAAAACCAGAGGCACCGGATTGGGACGCCGGCCTTTTTAGCTACGTCAATCCATAGAGCTCGTGTGTCGGGATCTGCATTGGTGTTGTCTATTTCCCTCATATTAGCCTGATATCAGCTACAAATGGCAGCATGGAAATATGATAGCACGCACCGACAGTTACAGATTTGCCGTCTTTAAGCAACTCTCTGGCAACTTGGATGCACTTGTCGCGAGACTTTAGTGTATCTTGGTTCACTCGCTCATACCCGAGGGGCTTGAGGACGTTGAAGTAAAAGGTGCTCTTTCCGGCTCCAGGAGGGCCACAAAACAAGACGACGTCTTGATCATTTTTCCGCTCATACACGTCTTCAGCGTCGATAATGCCGTCCTCCTCCGGTAATATATAGCTCCCTAGGTCAAACTCGCGGTTAAAATCTCTGGGCTTCTCTCCTCTGAAGAACTCTTCGGGTGTCAAGTAGTCAATGCCGATATTATGTGCCAAATTTCGATCAGAGCAGCTAAAGTCTTTTGCTACCGCTGCTGCGGCTCCATTGGCTCCTTTGCCAAGACTAGCGATTCGACCACCTGCATCGCCAACGAAAAAACTGTCCTTCAAATTTACTTCGTCCTCAGAAATTTCGAGGTCGTCGCAGACTTCTTTCCACATACCCCTCCTAGGTTTCCGATAAATGTCTTTCGCTGTGGCAGCATAGACCGTCATTGGGAGATCAAGGCTGGTCAATACAGCGCTGCACTTTTGTTTAAATTCAGCGACGCGTTTCTGAGCATTAGCTTTTGGACCTTTGTAGTTTGCGTCAAAGTGTAATGTTAATCCGGCCTGATTTGAAAGGATCACCACATGGTAGTCCTCCTTCTCATACAGCTCTCGCAGTCGATCCGGGACTGTGTTATCCCACCACTTCCAATCTGCCGCGTTAGACGCATGCTTCTTTCCCGATGAGGTAGTAATGAGAGTCGAGTCGAGATCGAATGCAGCTATCTTTCTTCGCTTGGACGGGGATTCTTTGTCGTTATTTTCCGGCTGGTATCTGCCAACTAGCAGTGTTGCGGGAACATCCTCTGCAGGGCTCCGTTCTGACCACACCGTTCGATCTTTCGGTTTCTGAGAAGCTGGTGTAAAAAATCCTGCAACGGCTGACTCTAGAAATGGATATTAGTCACTGAGAAGAGGCCAGCTATACAAGGCTACCCAGCCATACTTGTAGTAGTGCTCTTGACGGTTTTTTTGAGGGGAGGTGGGGAGATTGGTGCGCCGGGATCCTTTCGCTTCTTGGGTGGATTCTGCGTGACCATTTTTCGTCTCAAGAGCGAGCTACAGAGGTTCCTGTACGGGGTGGTATCGCGTAAAAGAGGCGCTCTGCACAATAAAAGCATTCGTGGCAGTTTTCGCGAGATTGGTTGATTTGCCCTGAGGCAGAGAAGCCCAGACGCGGCGCAATGCGACTGTGGCGCGTGGTCACGTGCAGCTTCAAAACCTCTTCAGCTAAGCCATCGCCAGCACCCAAACTGAATCATGAAGCATTGAAGCTTAGAGTGCTGCAGCATCTCACGATTAACCCCGACAAATCAAAGCGCCATACTTTGTACGCCTTATAAATTCACCGAATTTTCTCATTCTGTATCTCATTCAATTCAGATTTCTGCAGTATCGGAGACGACTTGATTATCAATCCTTGGCTCATCATGTACGAGCTATTCCTCACCGCACTGGTCGAGGACAGCGACATCAACACGGCCCTCGCTGTTTTGAGCGGCTTCTGTTCCATGCAGCCATGGGAGTCTATCAGCCGCGTTCTTTATTTCCAGGGCCCTCCTCGACCATCCGGCATCACCAACCAGCGCTCCTTTGAGAAACCCATGCGCAAAGACTCGGCCCTGCTCTGGAAGGAGTTGCATCAGAATCTCTCTCGCCAGTCATTTGTCCTTCAAGCTCGCTATGAAATCCTCAAAGACCGAGACCTAGGCCCCCAAGCCGAATCAGTCGATCTGAACCTCGTCCCTGGGATTCTGAGATGGACGGATTTTCCAGATCCTCCTCGTGGTCAGCCGATTCTCGCCCAGCGTAAGAAAGTCGAGCTCTGGGAACAGAGAAAGCTGCCGTCTATACTTCAGGAAAACAACTATCAGTCGGTGTTCACTCCTTTCAACTCATTTCTGCCATGTTCTAACAAAGCCTAGGCTCAAGACAGAAACAGTGGAGGAGACGTATCAGTTCTTTCGCGACGACGTCGAGTTCTGTCTAACTAGGCACTATTTTGTCGGCCCAATCGACGACTATGTTCCTCTTGCAAACATGCCAGCAGCTCCTACAGGACCAAAATCGAGTCTGCCGGCCTGGGAATCCCTGACACAGGTTGATATGCAGAGTCGGTGGATACTGCAGGTCAAGGCGCATGTCGTGCAGGACAACAAACCAGATGAAATCAAGAAAGCACAAGATCAGCTTCTGAAGTTTCGCGCAGATCTCGACGGAGTGTTTGACTTCAAGGTGATTGACCGCAAGGTACACGACACTCGAGTAGCGATGCAGCAGCAGGGCGTCCAAGCGCTTCCACAAAAAGTACTTTTGGGGAAGTCGTGATTTCAGAGCTTTATTCTCAGAGCTAATATATACTAATGCCGCTGGACATGGATAACCCCACGCCTCTAATGTTAATTCCAACACATGCATCTAGCCGCTGAGCGATAGCTCTTCCAGCTTAGCCTTTCCTACGTGGAATCACACAACACAAATGGGAACATAAGCAGTCCAAGCGACATAGCATGTCTTAAAAGCAGCTCCCTTATCTTCTTACGGAGTCTGCGATAAGAGAGGATTTTGCCGGTTCAAGTCACTACCTCAGAGCAGCGACTCCGATGCGAATCTTTGCGGGTTTAAATGAGACTGCAAGACTCAAAGAAATGGGAATCACGATATGGAAAAAGAATTCTAAGAAAACGGGTATCTTCAATCGCCAGACACCTCCAAAATGCTCGTATATTGCAAGTAAGGCTAGGTAACAAGAATCGTAACTGCAAATACTATTCCCAAAAACCGATGTCGATTTTTGCATCCCCCCAATTGGCCATATCACATTTAGAGGCCGAGAACCTGAGTGAGGTTGTTGACGCCAAGAGCAGCCTCGAGGCTGACAATGGTACCGCCGGTGGCAGCGTTGAGGTAAGCGTTGACAGCGTCCAAGTGAACGCCCTGGGAAACCATGGCGATGGCCTCACCGACGATCTGGACAACGTTGTTGAGGCCAAGAGCATCGGTAGCCTCAGCGCCAACACCGTCAACAAGGCTGACGAGCTTGGAGGCCAGGGTGGTGGCCTGGGGAAGAGCACCCTCGATCTAGAGGATAAACTGTTTAGCTTTGTGTACCATGGAATGAGTGACCAGTCGGCTTCTATTTACCTTCTGGACGATGGGGCCGAGCAGAGAGACCAGCTGGGTCTCAAGGAGAACAACGTCGACAACGACGCCCTGGGTGATACCGCCGAGCAGGTTGCCAACGTCACCAACGAGGGAGCGGGAGGCGAGAGGGGCAGCGAGGCCAGTGCCGACAATGGTGGCAAGGAAAACAGCGGCGAGGTTGAAACGCATTTTGGCGGTATTGGAAGTGAGAAAGGTACTAAATGAGTGACTGAAGTTTAAACTTCTGAAGTTGTTGGTTTGCTGTGCAAAAGAGTGACTGAGAGCGAGTTGCTTGTTGATGAGGAAAAGCAATCAGAAGTTGCGGGCGAAGCAGTGCTCTTTATATCTCTCAACCTCTCTATTCTACGATACACCGCTACAGTCTGTTCTCCTTTACCATCTTGTTCGATCGGCAGTCATAACATTAAGCTTGGGCATATCTGGACCCAAGAATTTCAGAATTACTAGGTACTGAGATCTTCCTTGACAAGGTCGCTTAGGTATCACGACTAATAGTGCCACGATGTGAGCCCACGGCCAGCCTCTTGACAGGAGCAACATGGTGTCAAAACAACAAGGATGGCACGATATTTCGTGGGTTAGTCTCACAATCTGCCGATCTAATCAACTCGCGAGTCGTCGACCAGAGAGAATGACATCGTGCCCAAGGCCTCCGGTGAAGATCGCAACTTCTGTTCCTGGCAGGATGTGTGGAGCGTGGTGGGTAGCTTTATCTAATTTCCCAGCTCGCCAGGATAAGGACGATCGCTGGGCCTGCAGAGAGAAGCAAGAACAATTTGGTGTATTACTATGCAATGTGCGCATGAGAAGAGTGGTAGAAATAAAAACTGCGAAATCGAATTTACAACCATAAAGCGCGAGAATTGAGAGCACATGGTGTTGGACGAAACACTTCTTCAAGGGCAGATTGTGGTGAGAGCTTCATACCCCAGAACATGCCCCGCGATCGACAAGCCCGTAGTGCTGGGCGCTAAAGAATTAAAGCCAACAGCACGAGGCTAGTCTGGGCCAAAGAGGTAATGGAATTGATTCGATGAGCGAATTGGAAACGCCCTTTCAAATGCCGTACCGGGATGATATCGAGTCATGCTCGATTGACTGTAGAAGTTGATGAGAGGCCACCAATCTTCGGCGACTGCGATGGACCCACACGAGATGGCTCCCAGCTGTCTTGTGAAATGAAGCATCAATCTGAGTTGTCAAATTCTGCGTCATATGCCTACAGGTATACAGGCAGTCTATTTAGATCAGAAAGTATTCGAAGCGCATTCTTGTCTATGCAAGCATAGTGATGCGCACCATGCAGAAAAAGACTCCTCAGCTTCCCAGCCGGAGGGGAGCTCCTATTCCCATCACAGCTCTCCACCTGATCGACATGTGTGTATGGGGCCGGACACAACCCAACATAAATAGTGCTAAACAGCAGCCCCTACGAGTGAATGGCGACGTCAGAGAAGGCAGAGAAAAGGGGGTTGACACTTAACCGACCCAAATAACCGGTTCCTGAATATCTTTGACTGGTTGCGGAATACTCTCCGTCTACTCGCTCTTTGAATCTGCAATTTACTAAATAGTCTCTTTTTTAGATCAATTTGACTACAGTTAGTATGCATTGCGATCTGCGGAGTAGCTCTCAGCTCACGGGCTTCTTATTGAGTCTTCTTGGTGGTGGGTGTTGACGATTTGGACATTCTTCACGCTTGAGGCTGGTGACCGGTTATGTCGGAGATGAAATCACTTGAGACCGAGACACGAACAAATGACTGTTCAATCACGCAATCCGACTCTTTACACTAGAAAGACTGTTATCCAGCCGCTCTTGCCAATCATCAACATCTACACTGAAAAGGCAGTGAGCTTAGGTCTATGGGAGTCTCAACTACTGAACACATATCAGCGTCTCTCACATCAATGGCCTCAGCATCCACACGCGGTAGCATAAGATTAACAGCACATAGCTGGTCATTGAAGTAATCAATTCACAAGGGCTATTCAGAAGATGTATTGCTCCTTCGTATTCCAGATCTCCAGAGTAAAAGGCTATAGTTTGAGTTATTCCGTGTTAGTGATAACAGTACGCCATTGCCGTTTCTGCTTCCCACCTCGGGTGGCGCCGAGAGGCGCAACGGCTCCAAAGCCAAGAAATCCAGGGCAGATCATCCCGCTCTCAGCATCTTGGCATCTATTAACAATTGCCGAGTTGCATGACAACTCAGGTTGGGCAATTGGGCATGCAAGGAAGGGACTTTAGTAAATTCTTTTTCTAAGTTGTCTTTGGTCATGCAATTGTATTAATAGCTACTTACAAGTAGCACTTGCTATTGTAGCAATAGCTTGAGACAAACGACAGCCGTATTATATTCTAGGGCGGAGGTTAAGTGCATAGGGTAGTCTACGATAAAAATGACACTCGCGAGAAATTTCCTCCGCGTCTTGAAGGTGGTAGTTGAGTCAATCATAATAGAGAGAATTGTAACTCTAGTATGAGTTTAAAGGTTTATCCTCAAACTTAATCTCGCTTGATAAATACGAAACAGATCCTTGGCAGCATTTGCGCCTTAGTCATGCCGTGTTGGCTTACAGGCTTCTTTATGCCCAAAAAGCATCGATACAAGCAGAAAGCAGTTTTCGTGATTGGCTGCAGGTTAAGTCAAGAGAATAGAGAAAGATGCTTAGAATGAACATTAGCTAATCCGAGGATAACTGAAACATTTCCAGGCCATACCGCCTCTGCCTCCTGTTAGCTCCAGCTCGAGATAGGCAGCAGCGCTACTTTGGGACGCCAGACCTCCGTCAAGCCAATCAGAGCAAGGATGTCTTTATACATCGTGAAGTCTATAAAAACAAAGGAAAATACAATACTTCCTCATCGTTTCTCATCCCAAATTGTATATTCATCAATTACTCGAATCAGCTTGCGTCAATCTCATAGTCAACACATCATCCCACATGGCAAACCGCACTTGCAAACACACATCCCTCTACTTGGACGTCTCACCGCACGCGTCTAAAGCCGGATTTAAACGTCCAAATAGGAGACAGCGCATCTCAGCTGCAACTCAAGACGGACGTGTTCTTAAAGAGCTAGAGCTTCTGACCAGCAAAGAGCTCCTCGAAGATGAAATGGCTTTTCCTGGACCGCTGGTTCTTCCTGGTGACGATCTAGCCGATGATCCAGAGTATCCGCCACAAGACTTCAATGAATGGAGGGATGAAGAAGAAAGAAACCCGGTGACCAACGAGAGGAAAACCATCTACATTGTGCCTAGTCCTTTGTTCGAGAAAAGCGTGTCCAAGATGCAGGCATGGTCGGTCTGCAGTTCAGCAAAGGAACAAGACGCACGAGCAGTCAACGCTCCAGATATACAAGACATTGTGGAATATCTATCCGCCTTCTTCTACGGCATGGACGTCAAGATCTTCGACCAGCCTTTTCATTGGCATAAATGGGAGAGCTACGACGGCGCCGTGTTGAAGCATTCAAATACAGAGACCCGAATTGGCCTCAAGTCTCCGAGCAAAGAACTCTTTGGCATTCGCTGCCGCGCTTCACCAGACGAAACATCTCCCATGCAAGTCAACCTGAACGACGTCCTGGACGCTCTGGCGGAGAACATCCCCTCTGATGCACATTCCATCATGATCCTGCTAGACCAAGACATGTACGAAGGCGACGGCGACATCTTCTGCGCAGGACGAGCATACGGAGGCAGCCGCATCGCAGCCGTCTCCACGTTCCGGGACCAGCCCGCCTGTGCGCCAAAGGACAACGGCCACGCATGGCCATCCTCACACTGCGCAGCTTACATCAACCAGCTCTGCCATCTCCAGACCTACACAACCAAACCGCAGCCCGTCCAACGCAAACCCAACAGCGGGCCTCTACACGCGGCTATAAAAGCCACCACCTCCACGCGTCACGAAAGCAGCAGCAGCAGCATCCCGTCGGAAGCCCCTACCGCCCAGTGGCTCGGAAGAGTAGCCGTCACCATGGCGCACGAGCTGTGCCACTGTTTGGGGCTGGACCACTGCGTGTACTTTGCGTGCGCGATGCAGGGGTGCGGCAGTGTGGAGGAGGCACAGCGGCAGCCTCCGTATGTGTGTCCCGTTTGTCTGGAGAAGCTGGCCGCTGCGATCGGAGAGGGGGCTGTTGCTGGATGGAACGACGAGGTGTGGAGCATGGCGGTTAGAGAGAAGTATGTGAGGGATCGGTATGAGGCGCTGAGGCAGGTCTGTGAGAGATGGAGCAATCCGAGCATTTCGAGGATGTTTGCTGGGTATAGGGCTTGGTTGGATGTGGTGATTGAGCGGAGTCTGTCATGTGTTTGAGCAGACTTGACTATTTGGAAAATATGAAAGATGGTTGAGAGCACAGAGGCCATGTTGAAACTTGTAATACGAAGTAAAAGCTTGGGAGTAGTTGAAGTTGAAACTTGGGTAGCAACATCTCATGTTACTGATGTGCTGCCCCGATACTTTCTGTGAGACTGCAAAGAGTCCAACAGTTGTCCAAATACTACATCTTGTTACTGCAGTTGATGTACAAGCACAGCATAATTTCAGATGCATTGCACAATTAGCATCCGGCGACTTACAGTTGTCGAACAGCTTCATGCAAGCACTTAGGGACTTACACCGCCCACATTAGACAGATGGGCCACTGAGCGAATAGACATATATGTTACGAGCTCATAACTTTACTCGACCCAAAGAGAAAGATTACACCTTCGTCATTCCAATGTTACAAATGCTCTACAAGTCTTTATGACCCCCGGATGGTTGTTGCTTTCTCGCGTCGGAATGGATGTTGCTGAGATGTCGAGCTGCTTGAGTGACTTTACGAGTCGCCCAAACATCAAAGGCCGTGTGGCTCAATGGCAGAGCGTCTGACTACGATTAAGTACATCAGGAGGTTGCAGGTTCGACCCCTGTCTCGGTCAAGATTCTTCTTTTTGCCATCACTCAGGATGAATTTAAAAGTAAAAACTCACCTATCCAAGGAGCGCACATTGGCAGTCTTGATTCTCTTTTTTTTTTCTTGCATTGAGTGCTACATCTCGACATCCAGTATCTTGTTCTCTCCATGCCATCCAATGCTCTCTTGGCTTTCCACTAACAAGCAAGAAAACGTCGCACCATGTGGGGGACAGCACAGAGCTCGCATGCCATGACAATTACCTCAGTTTTCTCCAATTCTCTTCGTATTCTGCACCAAGCACCGAGTAATGGTGTCGTCATCAATCCCGCGGGACATTCTACAGCACCAGACATGCCAATTACTTGCTGCTATGGAGCATTTTAGCTGAGAAAACTCTTCAATTCCAGCCCACCATCTTTTCAAATGTGTGCACCAAGCAAGGGATCCGGTGCTGTTTAGTGGTATTTTAAATCGGGAGCTCTAAAGTAGGCGATTTAGTAGCCTTCCGAGTGAGCTTCCGACGACGATCTTTTGATCAACCGTCATACATACTGTAGCAGTCGACGAAGCCATGACTGTCCAGTAATCAGACACCAGGCCATGTCTTGAATAGTTTGCGTCAAAGGACAAACGTTTCAGCTACAGGCTGTCTTTTCTCGCCATGCCCATGCTGCTAAAGTGTTTGTCTATGGGCGCAGTATCAGGGCTCGTGTCACATCCTATTGCTATTAGTGAGTTTCTGCTCATCGGGGAGCATGTGGAACAAAGTGAACAAGTCAATCAGTGCCAGCAGACACTAGGCTGTTATCGTCCCAACCCTGGCGGTGATTGGAACGATTTCACATGCTGATGGTCACACACTTTCCCTCCAAGCTCAAAAGGGAGGGAAGCACACGGCGTACTGCTACATGCGTAGGAGTAGGTAGCTTGAGTGATACCTACTGCTACCACACATAGGTCCTGCTTGGCTTGCAATCAGCTTTGAAGAGCTGCATGTCGCCTGCTCAACGGTACACGTTCAGCCATTTTGTGACCTGAAACAATATCATGCATGCACGTACGAGTGCCCGGAAATGCCAGTTCCCGAGAGCACACCATCGCAATGCTGGAGGTAATGAATCGCACATGTCCTCCTCGTACCGACGGCGGACACAAGAAGCAAGCAAGCAAGACGCGCAACCGACCAAAGTGGCCTTGGTCTCTCCACCTCAGCCTAGCCCCCATCGCTTCGCAAAGCGGGAGGGCTTCCGACGATCCACAGCTTTGACGGTTCGCCCTATGGAAGCCGCACACAAATGCAATGCGCCGATGCAATGAGACGCTGCTGCAGAATTTTCTCCTTGTTCCGTCTTGCAACCAACGGCCGTCCGTCGCGAATAGACAGGCCGTGGGGCATGCTATCTCGCAGCAAGCAGCGGCGAATTAGGACTCGCCACACTTTGGCGGAGCGTCTGCGAGAGATAGGAAGACCAGAGTTGCAGCTTGACGCACGCTCGACCCATGTCCAGCGGTGAGGAGACGGCCGTGCATCTGCGTGAGGCCATTGAGGAGCTTCCTCTGCCACTTGGCAGGCCTCAGACTGGCCCCCGTTTGTATTTACTGCAGGCTGGACATGCCAGCACAGGCTGTCTCTGCTTCTTGCTGGGTTCTCGATCCGTACAGCTGTGCCCGGATCACACAACTTGATTGAGCATGGTCTGTTGAATAGCCAGCCACTCACGTCTTGGTGGTTATTTATAGCGGGTGGAGCGAAGAGCGGCGTTGTCGACTCGCGGCTATACGGTGGGATTAGCAGAGGGCCGACGTTTAGCAACGGCGATATTCTCTGGCGATTCTAGTCATGAGAAACGGTCTTGTTCATCCACAATTCGCGCCAAACTCGGTGTCAGAAACCGTTAGAAGCAGCTTCTGGCTGGGTTAAAAACGGGGAGATAACGGAGACAGCAGAAGTTCAGGACGAGTCTCTGCGGAAGAACCAAAGTTCCAGCACCGGCGCCTTTCAACTTGCAGCCACAGTGGAGCAGCAGGCCTCTACAGCGCTATTACAGTGAGTTTTAGTTGAATGTGAAGACCTAGAGCCGGAGAGAAAAAAGTTTTCAGTTTTCCTGTGCTGAAAATTTACAGGCATGTGAGAGATAATACTCCGAAGAGGCGAATCAAGAAGGGTAAAAGAATGAAGAAAATAAATAAAGACAAATGAAAAATTTTCTCCATCTCGGGCCATCATTGGTACTCTGGTGGCCTGTGACTGATGCGGCTTGCAAGCATTGTGCAGCCGTAGGTCCTTTTGCGCGCGTAAAAAGCTGCGTCTCTAGCATGTTGATTGAGAAAAGCCCCCTTCGTCAGAGGCTGAGTGTCAATGTGAATTGGTGGATAATCCACAATGCGCCCATTTTCAGGTCTTTCATTTCGGCAGAATGTCATCTTGATTGGGTATTAGCATTGTCCAAAAAGTCTCCTTTCAGCCATCCTTGATGGATGCTGCTGGTCTTCTCTGTAAGAAGTATCTGGGCACAGATGTTTTCAGTCTACCCTCATATTATTGGATAGTACAGGTACCATCAACCGTAGACACTTTGGCCGAGTGGTTAAGGCGATGCCCTGCTATCAATTTGGTATCTTAGGCATTGTGTTCGCACGCGCAGGTTCGAATCCTGCAGGTGTCGGTTTCTTTTTTTCTTTTTTTCTACTAAACACTTACAAGCAATACTTACTTATGATTGTCATGTCTCTCTTTTTTTTTTTTTTTTGCCCTTGGATCTGTGAAATCTTCCTAATCACATTCAACCTTCATTTTCGTCCTTTCTTATTACGTAGACCCCTCCCTCCATCTCCAACTCCCTAGCTAAATCAGCCCATCAGCAAGCAATTCAAGCTTTTCTGTTGGGTCCAGCAAAGCCATGCCCAAAAGCTGCTTGACAAGGGCTTGAGCCGTAATCCCAGCAAATGGCACGCCTGCCCAGCCCTCCAGCGGCTCGATCTAATGCAAGGTACGCAGAAAAAATTGAAAATGCCGCTCCTCCATCATGTGTGTGCGGGCAAAGGTCCCGAACACGATTCTAGGCTTGCATGAGCGTCGGCGTCCACGTCTGCATGGGGCTAGAGGGTACTCGTAGGCATCATTTAAAGCTTATGTTGCGATGAAGAGATCGAGTGTTGATGCTGCTTTGAGCACTTTGTTCGTTCCTGGATACCCAGTAGCAGGCATGGTGCATACAATTAGCCTACGGTATGCTCGGGGCTGCGTTCCGTGAACACCAAACCCCGGAAACAACCCAGCTTCATTCGAGACGATGCCAATTGGCCGGTCTGAGATGACGACCGCTGCGCCTTGCAGGTACAAATTGGCTCAACATGCTTGATCGAAAGTAGTAAGAGCTCGCAGAGCTGCCCAAAAGCCACGGCCACCAGTTCGTACAAACTATCCCAACTGGCTCTGCCGTTGTGACACCCTCTGCAGCTCAGGTACAGGTACAGATACCTCCCCCTCAATATCGTCCCGTCCATCCATCCCGGACGGCAAGACGGAACTTGTCAAAAAGGTGGAGTTGGTAGGGCATCAAAGGATTCGTGTGGAGGCCGCTGGACGTGCCTTGGATCTCGCATCGCCAATCAGATGGCCATCCATTGCAGAGTTTTTTCCCTATTCTTCCCGCTATATACCGAGAGCAAGGATCCCTTTGCAATCTTCATATGCCAAACAAGAAACCTGTGCTGTCAGTCTCTTGCCAGACAAAGGCACTGCTGCACGAGTGCTTCCATATCACGCTGCAAAACCAGGGCAATATCACCCGGCCAGTGTATGACTGCAGAATGCTGTGCCATCTCACAAGAAACGGTACTAGTATAATATACTGCGCCGATACTTCCGATGACGGCGACCGCGCGGCATTGAGTGCTACCGCATTGCGCCTTCGAGTCGAGTCCAAGTGGCTGTAGAAGCCGGGGTTGAGAATCCAGTAGTCGCAAGCAATGCTACCCCGCCGTCACAAGCCTCCCCCCAACAATGGGCTTGCGTGAGTGTGAATTCACGCAGAATTGGGAATCAATTGGGCTTAGCAAAGGATCCGAGCATGCCAACGGACTAACAGAAAGTGTTACCCGAGTAAAGTAAGGCCTTTCGGGGGTTTCAACATTGGCCTAACGATAAAACCGTACGAAGCAGCCAACTCTGCACCCGAGACATTTGCTAGCACGCAAAACAGAGTTCGGCCTACTGCCAGGCACAGGGCTTTCTAATCGATGCAACTTCAGCCCATTCCCGGGGTGGATTGGCCAACCACATGGCAGCCCTGCCCACCACTTGTCTCCCCACTTTGCTTGTTTGGTACGACGTTGCTACGATATCCGGCCTGCAACGACGGGTCCTTTGCACAGAGACGGTGCTCCCACACTGGTGAGCGGGCAAGACGTGAGATAGGCTGCTGGCAGACTCTCGCAAAGAGCTCTTCTTTTTTTTTTTGGGTCTCTCTCGTCGAGTATGTGTGTAGTTGTACATGGCCATCCAGAAATCACAGCATGCGGCTCGGACCGGAATCACACAGCACAGCATTCAGCAATGTTTTCGGGTCAAGGGGGAAAGCAAGCTGCATTGATAATTGATAGATGCGAGGGCTGTGCACCCCTGCGAAGCTACATCTAGTTGTAGTTGTACATTGTTGTTTCTGCGTAAGCTATTGCCGTCTTGTCCATGTCTTTGGCCCGCAGACTTTGTAACTACTACTCATCCCAGTAAACTGAATATGGATCCAAATCCACGCCATGCTCACCTAAAGATGTCCATGTATTACTCTGCAGGATCAAAGTGAGGTATGAGTGTTGCAAGAGATGTGTGAAAGTGGTAATGGCTGAGCCATCAAGCTTAGATTATGTTGTCTATGCTGTAAAAGCAATGCCCATCCATCACCAGGCGCTATGGCAATGTTATTACAGTAAGGCTACATGTAATATCATCTCATTAAGACTCTATAGTAATAATGTCTCAGTGGCCCACTTGCTAATACAGCATTCTCTCAGTGAGACTCTAGTAATGCTGTCTCTCACTTGCACTCTATAGTAATACAGTCTCAATTTACCGAGGGCAATGTTTCAAAAGCTAGTAACACCAGATAGCTAAGCATACAGTCTTTTCAATCGCCAACAGTCATATCAATCATGAGAGTCATACAAGACACGGCACGACACATCAAAGTCGCGAGACAGAGGGACACAGGGCGTTGGCTGACATGTGTCTTCGGCTAGAGCTGCATAATTTCCCCCCTCTGTATTCGTAAAACCTTCCAGCTGGGCACAGAGCATTTGGAAATCAACTATCAACGTGGAGCACAAATTTGGGTACGTCGGCTATTCACGCAGAATCGATCCGGCCTCGGAGGTTCCATATCGAATCCGCCAGCCGGCGGGCCACGTCAAAAGAACCTATCTCGGGGACTCTTCACGGTGCAAGCACGCGACAATTATCTACTCTGCTCCATGCTGTAAACTACTCAAAAGAAGAAGAAACCAGCGTAATCGCAGTAGTAGTACAGCGTGGGCTCTAGCACTGACAAGTTAGCAATACTCCATTCTGTCCCGTCACTCCGAATTAACATCCATCCTCTGCACCACAAAAAGACGAACGCCACCGTCGTTGGCCATCTCTCTAGTCCGTAGTACCAATACTAAAGAGAAAACTAGCTCATGCAAGGCACCAACAGCCAAGCGTCCCCCCCTCCAAAAAGATGACCGATTCAAAAACGACCAAAATCATTTACCGGCAGCGGTTAAACGGAAAAAGCAAAAGCAAAATACGAAGTTTGTGGGATGTAACGAACGAGAAGAAAAAAAAGCCACAAAACCCCAAGCTAAGCTCCGGACCTGACTTCTCGATACAGCATGAAAATGGGGAGGAGGCTCAGAACTTTTAAAAAACTAAAAAAGAATCGGGCTACAAAAGCCATAATCCCGTAAAGCCGGGACGCCGGTCGGTCGGGTATAAAAAAAAACGTGGCTTGAATGGAACTAGACGACGCCGTTGACATGTTGGCTCTCTTTTCTGTTTCCTTCTAAAGCCCATTTAAACTTGTTCATCTTGTGTAGGGCGCTAATCAGTTAGAAGAAAAAAAGGTCAAAGTCCGTCCGGTGGAGAAAGAAAATGACAT